CCCTCACCAAGTAAGGAGGTTTTCTGCTGAAAATCCCATTTTATTCCAGTGTTTATCCCTGTAAATTCAGCACATGACTTTATTTTCAGAGGAAAGGAGAATTTTCTCCTGCATTGGAAGGGTGGCTAAAGGTTCTCTGTGCTTCCCTCCCTCTTTTTGGGATTCTTTTTGGATTTGTGTTCCTGAGCAGAATTCCTAGCTCCCCTCACCAAGTAAGGAGGTTTTCTGCTGCTCCAAATTCTGTCTTTAAACTTAAAAAATTCCAAGGACCTTTTGAGCTGGGCTGTTCTGCACTTTTCCAGCAGCACAATGTCCCAGCTCGAGGTGACACAGCACTGTGCTGCAGGGCAGAGCCTCAATAAATGGAATGATCCTTGAATAACCATAAAAAGTAAAGTTTTATATTTAAAATCAGCGCAAATTTGGGGCTGATCCTCTGCTGAAAGAACACAATAATTTTTGTATCATTCATATGCTTAAACTTAGCTTAATTTGAGCTTTGGTGCAGGACCAAGGTGCCAAAACCTCTACAGCATCCCTGGAAGGTGATGAATTAATTATTCCTGGCATGTCGATAAGATTTGGAATTATCCCTGGCATGCCAAAAATATTTGGAATTATCCCTGGCGTGCCAAATATCCCTGCAGGAATAAAGGTGGGGTGGAAAACCCAGGGAAGAGTCAATCCTGTGGGCACGAGTGTGGTGCTGGAGATCAGATGTGGCAGAGGATAACTGGGCTATAAATTCATGAATTAAATACATGAATACACGAATGTAAATACTGGTAATTGCAGGCAGAACCTCATTTTTCCAAGTGGAATGAAAAATCAACCCTGCACTTCCCATATCTGTGGTGCTGAAAGAAAGGAGAATTTCCTCTTTGGAGGAAAGCAGAATTTCCTTGTAAACCTCGTTTTTCCAAATGGAATGAGAAATCAACGTTGCGTTTCCTATCTCTGTGGTGCTGGAGGAAAGGGAAATTTCCTTTTTAACCTAATTTTTCCAAGTGGAATGAAAACTCAACCCTGCATTTCTCATCTCTGTGGTGGTGGAGGAAAGGAAAACTTTATTATTAACTTCATTTTTCCAAGTGGAATGGAAAAGCATTAATGAAGCTTTTCCCACCAGTAAAGGACAATTAAGAAGAGCCTTGATGATGATCCCATGATAAAATGGGATTAATCTGGTGCTGAAGGACTTTGGGATGCTCTGGTTTTGTCATGGTGCACATTAACCTGGAATAAATCTGTCTCAGCCCTGCGTTTATGCATATTTCCTATCTCTGTGGTGCTGGAGAAAAGGAGAATTTCATTTTTAACCTCATTTTTCCAAGTGGAATGAAAACTCAACCCTGCATTTCCCATGTCTTTGGTGGAAAGGAGAATTTTATTATTAACTTCATTTTTGCAAGTGGAGTGAAAAATCAACCTTGCATTTCCCATCTCTGTGGTGCTGGAGGAAAGGAGAATTTTATTATTAAAATAAAATATTCATTTTTCCAAGTGCAATGAAAAATCACCCAGCTAATTGCGGAGGAATGAAGTCCGTGCCAGGCGTGCACAATGAAATCAGAGTGCAGCATTATCAAACTTATTGTTTAATTACCAATTAACTCAGTGCTGATGGATCAGAGCCATTAGAGGTATGTCGGGTTCAGGTGCCATCAGGTGCATCCCAGTTTGTGTGCAATCAGGAATTCTTCTTGGCAGAAAGAAAATGATACATGAGAAAAAAGAAAATTATATATGAGGAAAAGAAAATTATATATGAGGGGGAGGCTGAGCCTCAAAAATCCTTGATTTTCAGGCTGAAATCCTGTCTGGAAAAAAAGAAAAATTTAGGATGCTGAGGTGAGGTGAGAGGTTTGGGAAAGGCACAAATCCCAAATTGTGCAGGGAGAGCCAGAGCATCCACACACAATTCCAGGAAGCCACAGCAAGGAGGGGCTGCTGCCAGCATCGATTGTTTCATTTGCTAATTAGTGCTGAAATCTCCTCAAAGTCAAATAAAGCAGAGGATGTGAGCTGCTGGAGCTGCTCCCTCCTCCCCTGCCCCGCATTTCCTCACCCCCTTTTTGGTTTTTTGTGGTGTTTTTGTTTGTTTGGTGTTTTTTTTTTTGTTGTTGTTTTTTGTTTTTTTTTTTTTTTTTTTGGTGCAGATATTAATGGATGTGGGGGCTTTGCTGGTGTTTGGGTGAAGAGTGAGGTATTTTTCATTATTTGTCTCTGATGTGACCTTGGCTGTGTTATTTTACCTTCATTTCACCTGGTAGATCCATTTGACGGATGAATTAAAGGATATTTTGTGCATGGAGTGCAGCAAAGAGGGAGATGCCACAAGTCTGTGAAGAATATTGAATATTTTATGTGAATATTGAAGAAGAATCTCTGAATTTTTGGTGTGATGTGCTCTCTTTTTCCAAGGGGCAAACCTGGAGGTGAGAGCAGGGCAGGCAGAGCTTTGTTCAGACTTTGTGGCCAGGTGTTTTATTTTCTTCTGCCTCTGTTCTTTTACCTTCCTTCCACCTGGTAGATGGATTTGAGGGATGAATTAACAGATGCTTTGTGCATGGAGATTTTTCTGTGGTAAAGAGGGAGACATTACAAATCTATGAAGAATATTGAATATTGCCGGTGAATATTGGAGAAAAATCTCTGAATTTTTGGTGTGCTGTGCGCTCCTTTTCCAAGGGGCAAACCTGGATGTGGGAGCAGGGTAGGCAGAGCTGCTGTGACCTGGAAATGTCATTTTTGCTCCGACTTTGTGGCCAGGTGTTTGTTTGCTGTGCCCAGCCCTAGTTAAACAGGAGGTTGTGTGTACTGGAGCAGGGCTGCCAACAGGCAGGACGTGACCTGGGAAATATAAACCCCTTTTTCTGACAGGGGATTAACATCTCCTTCTCTGGGCCTTGCTATCAGATGCTCTTTGGTCTTATTTTCAAACACGGAGTCCATTAACAATCAGGTTGAGAGCTCTGGGGATTTATCTCCAGGGTGGACCACATCCAATGCCAATATTTTTCACCTCAGGATGAGGTCTCTGTGAAAAAACACTTTTTTTTCCTTGCCATGCTGTTTTGGGCTGGAATATTCTTGACCTCAGGAAGAGCTTTCTGTGAGAAATCGTCTTTTATTTCTTCTTACACTGGTTTGGATTGGAATATTCTTCACCTCAGGAAAAGGTCTCTGGGAGAAATCACCTTTTTTTCTTCTTTTACTGGCTTGAGTTGTAACATATTTCACCCCAGGAAGAGATTTTTGGGAGAAACCCCTTTTTTTTGCTTGCCATGCTGTTTTGGACTGGAATATTTTTCACCTCAGGAAGAAGTCTCTGGGAGAAATCACCTTTTTTTCCTTGTTATGTTGTTTTGGCTTGGAATATTCTTTACCTCAGGATGAGGTCTCTGAGAAAAATCACTTTTTTTTCCTTGCCATACTGTTTTGGGAAGAGATGAAAATTTTGACTCCATGTTCCAGAAGGCTGATTTATTATTTTATTATCTATATTTATGATATGTATTATATTTATTACATATATTATATTAAAATAAATTATATACGTATAGGGGAGACATTTTGTATATGGTTTTTATGGGTGCAGAAATTCTGCGTGTAATTTTTGCTGGGTGCAGAAATTCTGTATGTGATTTTTTGCTGGGTGCAGAAATTCTGGGTGTGATTTTTACTGGATGTAGATATCCTGGGTGTGATTTTTGCTGGGTGCAGAAATTCTGTGTATTTTTACTGGGAGCAGAAATTTTTTGTATGATTTTTGTTGGGTGCAGAAATTCTGTTTATATTTTTTGCTGGGAGCAGAAATTCTGTGTATGACTTTTCCTGGGTGCAGAAATTCTCACCTGGCATTTCTGGGATGCCTTGAGTGTCATTTCCTGCAGATCCTGCCCTTTCAGACATGCAGATAAAATTCCTGGAGCACCTTTCTCTGCTGATCCAGCACTGGAGCTGTGCTGAGTGTTCCCTGTGGGACACACAAAATTCCAGTCTGTCCATGGAGATCCAGGTGTTGAAATCCTGGGTTTGCAGCTCCAGAATTACAGGTCTGAGAGCTTCTTTGCATTCTCAGTTTTTAAAGCCCTGAATTTCTGCTTTTTAGTGGAGTTTGCTCCTTGGAGTCTGAGGATAAATGACTAAAAGCAAGAATGGGATCATATAATCTGATTCCTGCTGCCAAAAGATGAAGGGAGGACAGATGATTTAGAAATTAAGTGAATATTTTACAATGTTTTTCTTTCCAATAATAGAAAAAAAAAAAAAAAGTAGGTGAAATTGCCTAATATTGCCCTGCCAGCTATTAACAATGCAAATAAATGTGGAGAAAAAAAAAGGTGTTTATTCCTTAAAATGTGTGGGAATGCAGGCATTAGTGGCGGACTTATTTATTTCTATTAAAAAAAAAATCAATTTGCTCTTTTCTTCCTTCTAACCCTCCCCCACCCTGAACACGCCACTATTTTACCCCAGTGAGTTGCTTTGTGGTTATTGTGGTTTTTCTTCACCCAGCAACAAGACAAAAACATAAATAAAGGAAAATGTGTTGGTGGATTCACAGATTTTGATGAGACTTCAGGCTTCAGATTGTCAAAAGCAAATCTGGCCCTGTTCTGCAGTGAATTTGAGGCCAGGAATCTGGTTTTGCTACAAATGTGTGATCTCTGACACAGCACAGGGGGATTTTAGTCCCCATCAGACATTCCAAGGCTCTGGGGAGACTCCAAAGTGGGAAATTGTTGAAATTATTTTAGTGCCTCCCAGTTTGGGGTGGTTGTCTGGAAAGTTGTTGTTCTACCCTGTATTTTGATTTATTTCCTCTATTCTCACAGTCTCTCATTCTTTAAACACAGAGCACCTGCTGGCACCAACATTTTATTGAATAAAATGCATTTTTCCTCAACAATTGGAGAAAACCGCTGTCCGTTCTGATCTGATGTGATTTCAAATTCCTGATTTTCTTCCTTTTGTTGTTTTATTTTGTTTTCCAGGGTGGTGAAGGAAGAGATCTCAGATGACAATGCAAAGCTGCCCTGCTTCAATGGAAGAGTGGTGTCTTGGGTATGTTGGATTTTGTCTGTGGAAACCTGTGTTTGATACTGGAAGCTGATTTTTAGATCTTGTTTTTGCTGGGATGAAGGAACATGAGGAAATAATAGTAAAGTAGGTTTATAGGAGTTTTTTACAGCTGAGCAATTGCAACAAAAGTGGAATTATCAGGTGGAATCAGAAGCTCTTTCATTTCTGTGCTGATTTTAGGAGTTGAAGATCTTGCAATTTACACTTCTTACAACTTTTTTATATTTTAACCATTTTTATATTTTAACTGTTATTTTTATATTTATCTATTATTTTTATATTTTAACTATTATTTTAATACTTTAACTGTTATTTTTATATTATAACTAAACTATTATTTTTATATTTTAACTATTATTTTTATGGCTTAACTATTATTTTAATGGTTTAACTATTTTTAAAAATATTTTAACAATTTTTTAATATTTTAACTATTTTTTAATATTTTAACTATTTTTATTATTTTAACCATTTAAATATTTTAACAATTTGTTTTTGTATTTTAACCATTTATTTTTGTATTTTACCTATTTATTTGAATATTTTAACTATTTTATACCTTAAAATATTTGAGCAGCCCAGACATTGAAGTTGTACAGAATAAAGACATTTGCTGCCTGCTGAGCAGCTTGACCTTTCCCAGCCTGGCTTCTTGCAGGCAGGATTACATGGAAATAACACGAAAAATCAAATGCAGAATCGATTGCCTGCTGTTTCCTGCATGCAAGGAGAAGTGCAGTGTGTTTTTTCAGACTCGCTTTGACTGGGAGATGCTTCTTGAGCAAAGATTCCTTGTGGATCAGCCCTGCTGGGAAATGCTGGATCACACCGCTCCAGCCACTTCTTCCTGCTCTATTGATTGATTTTTATTTTAGGGCACTCAGATTCTGGCAGCTGGGTAGTCCCAACAGGTTTTTAGTGTTAGGCAAGCAAAACAGGTGGCTTTGTAAAGCTGAGTTTAAAATCAGTCCTCCCACTCACACCCAAATATGTGTTAAGCACTCAGTAGAGTGAGGTCTTAAAAATTGGGATTTTCAGTCTGTGCTGTCCAAAAGTAGCTGGGAATTGTGTTCAGAAGGAAAAGTTACTTTTCCCCTTTTTTTTAAGACCTCCCTACCTGTTTTTTTACCTTTTTGCTCCAACCTTTAGCCCAAGCAGCAGTAAGTGACTGATAACCAAGGGGACTTTTCCAAGAGCTCAGCCATGCGTTTCCTCCCAGCAGCATCAGAATGCCTTGGCTGGGGCATGGAGGAGTGCTTGAAGGCAGAATTATTTTGATTTAAAGCTGCATTTCTGATCCAATTCCAATCTAAAGCTGGGCAGTGCTCAGAGAAAGGAATGAGTACCACTTTCCTCCAGGAAAAAGGGAAGATTCCCTGCATGAGGGAAAATTGGTTGTCAAACGAATAAAACCATTGGCATTAGAGAATCAAACTGATGTTTAAACAAACAGAAAATGTTTGAGAGCTGAGGATCCATCTGCAGGCAGCACCAATTTATTAATTTCACAACTTTCTTCCATTCTTAATGAGGTTGTGCCCTGGGAACTGGATTTGGGATGGGGATCAGTGCTCCAGGATGCCCCTGAGCTCTGCTGCTGCTGCTTTTGTCTCCAGTGCAAGGATCACAGAGCGTGGGGCTCTGCCAGGGTGGCAAGGGATGGGACAAAAAGGGATTTCATGTGTGATTAACGAGCAGAAAAGAGAGTCCCAAAAGCTGCAGATGAAGCAGAGCAGGAAATGGAGCTGGGTTTTGTGCTGCCGTGGCCTGGGAGCAGCACTGGTGCCTTGTGTCCCTTGCTGGTCACTAGAATCCCTTGTGAAAGCTGCCCTGGAACAGGGGCTGGACAGACTTAAAGAATAAAATAGGGATTTTTATAATAATAATGATAATAATAATAAAACATCTAAAATATATAAATGTCTATAAAATATATATATTTATATTTTATAAATTATAACTATATAAAATATATAATATAGTTATATATAAATATAGATTTTATAAATATATTGCATATATTATATTTATATATATATAAATTTATATAAGAATATATATTTATAAATATATATATGTAATGCTATTATTTTCCTTAATTGAGCATTTTTTGTGTGCTACACTGAATTTTTTCATGCTGCTCAGGATGAGTTATAAACCCATCCATATTTCAGGATGAATTACAAACCTACCCAGTCCTGCAGAGGCAGCAAGATTGGAGAAAGTTGGGTTGGATTTATTCCTTCAAAACTTGTTTTTTTTCCTGCCTTCCCACCCATCAGCTACTCCCAAATTTCTCCTGGTTTAGTGCATTTTAGGAGCTCCTTTTGCAGATGATGTTGACAAGGGTTTCTGTTTAGCAATCAGCTCAAACATCTGGGTCTGACCTGCCTGATGAATTGCAAATTGCTTTTTCCACACTAACACCCATAAAATTGCAGGGCTTATCTGCCTCTATTTGCTGCTAATTACTGCAGGAGTTTTATGTAAATCTCACTGGAAGTTAATTGTTCCCTTTTGAAATCTTTAATATCCCATTCACTAGGACTTAACAGATAATTGCACACAAATCTTCCAGGGATAGCAAAGTTGGGTCTTTACCTTTTAGAAACATATATATATATATATAAAATTTCTATATATATTATATATGTTTTTATATATGATATATACATATATAGAAAACAATACAATATATAATATAGAAAATATAAAATATATTATAAAGATATAAAAAGAAATATTATCTATATAATTTTGTATATAAATATAATTATATATTAAACATATAACCTATAAATATATAGTTAGAGGTATAATATTATATATGATATATATTATATATATCATATATAAAAATATATAAAACATAAACTTTCAATATATTCTTTTATATATTTTATAATATATTGTTATATAGAAAATACAATAATGCAAATAATTTAATATAGAATAGATTATATTAATTATAATTATATATAAATAAAATGAGTATATTTTTGTATGTATATATAATTATAGATAAAATTTTATATATATATAATTTTTAAATATTATATATGGATATATAATTATATATGTACACACACTCTTTTTTTTTTTTTGTGTTTCAGCCAGGGTTATTTACTTATCTGTTATTTTTTGGTTTTGTTTTTTTTTTAAATGGGTCTGAGCTTTCTTTGTCCCCAGGGCTATAAAATGTGTGTCAGCTGCTGGGAGACAGTTGGGATTCTTGCACAAACCCATCTGTAAGGATTTTGTGGTCCTGGAAATCACTGCAGTATGTTTCACAGCCCCAGCACAAGTGTAAAAATGGAAAAAAGCCCTCAATGTACACAGCCCCTGCACTTGTTTAAAAATGGGAAAAATCAGATTGCTGTGCTCCTGGAAGTGACTGCTGTGAGTTTCACAGCCCCAGCACTAAATATAGAAATGGGAAAATTCAGTGTACCCAGCACAGCTGATCCTCCTCTTCCTCCCACCTCTCCCTCCTGACTGAGCCCGTGGCTACTTTGAAGTTTCCACCAGGGCTGATGTGGGGAAATGTGAGATTTTCATCTTTTTTAATCCCGTTGAATCCTTCTGTTTGTCAGAGGTGGGAACTCTGATCTGGGTGTCATCTGCAGGACTGATTTCCATAGGGGAAAACATTCCAGGGAGGATCTGCAGGTCTGGATTAGTGGTGAATTAAAATCCCTGCTGCTAATTAGCTATTTCAACTTCCTCCCCAGCCCTCTTATGTCCTGCTTGTTTTCCTCCTCCACAGCTCAGATCTACTTCCTTTGATTTCAGCCTGGGTTTGTTTTTTCCATTTTTGTTTTTTCTTGTGTGTTTTTGGGTTTTTTTTTTTTGCTGGTTTTGTTGTTGTTGTGGTGGTTTTTTAAGCATGAAATAATTTGGGACAGAGCTGCTCTTTCCTAGATTCATTTGCAAAGAATTCTTTTAAATCCTTTAAAAATCCTTTTTTTTTCCTTTTAAACTGGTTGATCTTTAGTTTTTTGACAATACAGAGGCTATCATTAATTGTGTGTCAGAATTCTTATTTACAGTAAATGCATTTACACAAACACATCTTCTGCCAGAAATAGCTGATATTTGTCCTGTTTTACTAACATACAACACAAAATATAATTTTTCTCTGAGAATCATTTGTTTGGAGTTTTCTGGAACTTCTTACCTGAATGAAATTATTAATGCCATTTTTGCTTTTTGCCTTTTTATTTTTGGGCCTTAACTGGGCAATTTGAAAAAAAAAAAAAAAGAAGTGGAAGAAAATATTTTTTTACAATAAATTGTTTTTCTGTTCTCTTGGGGAAAAGTTGAATGGTGGAAGCTGGGAGTGTGGCAGGAATTGGTTTGTGGCTGCTGCCAGCTCTGTTATCCCTGTTTTTTAGGAAGGATTTGCAACATCTGGGAACAATTCCTTGCCTGGCTGCTGGGAATGTGCAGTTCCCCATTGGCTGGCAGTGATGTCACTGCTTTGTGGGAGGTTTTCCCTGCTTTTTCCTCCCCATTATCTGGGTGCCAGCAGATAATTCTTGTCCTGTTTGTACATCAGCTTTTTCTAGCCTCTATTTGCAATTATAATGAACTCCGTGGTGGGGCAGAACCATTTGACAAGGGCAGCACAGGAGCTTCAGGGCAGGGAAATGAAAAAATAAAAATGCTCAGTGCTGAAGCAGGGAATAAAAATCCCCAGGAGCAGAATCTTGGATGAAATGAGCTGATTTCAGGGCCAGTCTCTTCGCACTTTATATAAACCCTCATCCCAAGCCTCATCTCAGCGCAGACAATTTCTCCTTGCTCAAATAAAATCCTTTTGCTGATGAGGTTTTAGCAGAGCTGGGGAGTCCTGGTGCCTTTGAGGGAATTCCTGGTGGAGCACAGGAATTTTTTTGCAATTCCAGTTCTGCAATTGCTCCTTTGGGAGCAGCCTTGTGTGGATAATGGGGCACAGGTCAGAAACTTTGACTTGGGATTTGAGCTGCCTCTGACTTGATGGGAAATAATTATTTCCAGCTCAGAGATGAATGTGGCTGTTGGGAAGTTGCTGTCAAAAATATAAATGGCTCTTTTGGGTATTTCTTTAGTCACTGGGATGCCTTGGGAAGGCTGAGCTAGAGCAGAGCTAAAGAATAAAGCAGGGATTTATGACAAGTTTCTCCTCAATGGATCCACCTTGGGCAGCACAAGAGCCCAGCCAGGGCTGCACCCGAGATGAACCAAAATGAATCCAGGATGAATCAAAATGGTCCCAAAAAATGGATGATCAGTCACAAAATAATGTTTTAGTCCACTGGCATCTTGGAGTGAATTGTCCCATTCCAGCTTTAGCCCATGCAGTCCCATCCTTGTTTTTCTCTCTCCAGCCCACGGTCTTTGTGCTCCTGGGCTGAGATTTGGATCATTTGTCCTTGGTGCCCAGCTGGAGCAGGAATTGTTTTGTCTCCCTGCTCTGTGCACAGAGCTCACCATCCCACAGCATGAAGCCCAGACCCACTGACTAAAGCAGCACAGAATGTGAAAAATAGAAAAGCCAAAACCTGAGGCATCACCTGGGATCAATCCCTCACGATGCTCTCCCTGAGCTCAGAGAAACACCAAGAGCTGCTGCTGTTCCTCAGTGGGAGTTTCAATATTGTATTTTTGCTGCTGATAAATTAATCAATATTTAGCCAGATGAGATTTGAGATAGGTGATTTAGGATAATTCCCAAGTAATCCACAGAAGAATTCCTGGTGCTTGCAGGAATTCTGTGCCCATCCAGGGCGATGTTTTCACGTGGAACCTGAATTTAAGCTGAATTTAATCTGTTTTTCTGCAGGTTTGGCAGGAATCCTTGCACTTCCCCTCAGATCCTGGAAGTTTGGCTGTACACTTGGAGAAGCTGGTGGGATTTTGAGGATGAAATTTTGTGTAATTCTGTTTTTTTTTTCTGTTGGCAGTTGGTCCTGGCTGAGAGCACCCACTCTGACACAGGCTCCCAATGCACCGAGAGCCACGTGGAGCTGCCCCCAGCCCTGGAGAGGACAGGAGGCATTGGAGACTCCCGGCCCCCCTCCTTCCAGTAAGCCCCAATTTATTCATCAGATTCTCGTTTAGCAAATTGATTTATCAAATTCTCATTCCCATCTATTTCTCACCCTCATTTCCTTTCCTGCTCCAAGCCAGCTGTTTGTTTTTGTGGTTATAAAAATCAAATATCGAGGAATAAAAAGGGGGCCTGAAAAACCCCTTTCATTCTTAGAGTGAAATATTCATCTAAAATATTTATCCAAAATGAGATATTTGTCCAAAATATCTCATTTTCCTGGCCCACATCATTCCAGTAAACCCAAATTCTCATTGATTTATTATTGATTTATTCCATCTATTTCTCACCCTCATTTCCCTGCCTGCTGCAAGGCAACTGTTTGATTTTTATAAAAATTAAATATTGAGGAATTTAAAGGGGGATGGGACTGAAAAACCCCTGTCATTGATAGAGTGAATATTTATCCAAAATATCTCATTTTTCCAGCCCCCATCATTCCAGTAATTTACATTTGTTTGTGAAATTCTCATTCCTATCTCTCACCCTCATTTCCCTTCCTGCTGCAAGCCAGCTGTTTGTTGTTGTGGTAATAAAAATTAAATATTGAGGAATTAAAAGGGGGATGGGACTGAAAGCCCCCTGTCATTGTTACAGTGAATATTTATTTCATATGAAATATTTATCCAAAATATCTCATTTCCTCAGCCCCCATCATTCCAGTAATTCCCACTGATTTATCAAATTATCTTTCCCATCTATTTCTCACCCTCATTTCCCTTCCTGCTGCAATCCAACTGTTGTTGTGATTATAAAGATCAAATATTGAGAAATTAAAAGGGGGATGGGACTGAAAAACCCCTGTCATTGATAGAGTGAATATTTATCCAATATATTTATCCAAAATATCTTGTTTTCCTGGCCCCCATCATTCCAGTAAGCCCAAATTCCCATTGATTTATTATTGATTTATTCCCATCTATGTCTCACCCTCATTTCCCTTCCTACTGCAATCCAGCTGTTTGTTGTTGTGATCATAAAAATCAAGTATTGAGGAGTTAAAAGGGAGATGGGACTGAAAACCCTCTGTCATTGTTGAGAGGGAAATATTTATCCAAAATATCTCATTTTCCAGCCTGTTGTGGATGAGTTAAGTAGGGCGGGAGCCCAAAATGCTTTTTGCAGTGATTAGTGTGTTCTGTGTAATTAGGGAGGCTGCAGAGGCAGCTGAAGGCTGCTGGCAGCAGGGAGAATTTCCACCAGGAATAATAATTACAATTCCATGGCCATCCAGAGGCTGCCAGCCCCAGCTGTGGCTAGGAATATCTGCTTTGATATTCTTATTTCCTCTTCCTGATCCTTAGATATCTTCATTTTCCAGGGAATTTCCACCAGGAAAAAATTCTTTCTTCCACCAGGGGGATTTAAAGCAGGGCCTTGTGCTCTTAGGCTGTGTTTGGAGAATGAAATATGGCCTGGATTTGCCTTTTTTTCAATTTTTTTTTTGGGATGGATGTTGCCTGGAAGAGCTCTCAATGTTATGAGTCTTTTTAAAATAAACCTTTTAGCGGACAAGAAATGCTGGGAAATCCTGGCACTGCCTTGCTAGGGCTGTGCTGCCCTCCTGTGTTCTGATCTGGCCAGAAAATAAAACCCGGCTTTTGTCTTTCCTGGCCTAAACCTGCCTGGCACAGCTGTAAGCACCAGCTTTGTTTAAAAAGATAATTAGCTGATAATTAGGCACGAGGTTTGTGGGTCTAATGCCTTGCTGGTCCTCCTGCTTTCTTTTTTTGGTTTTTTCCCCTTCATTTTTTGCTTCACCATTGAATGAAATCAAGAACAATAAAAAAAAAATATATGTATGTATATATGTATAAATATATGTATATATATGTGTGTGTGTGTGTATATATATATAAATAATTAATTAGATATAACGTTTATATATTATAAAATATATATTATATATTACATGTTATGTATTATACAATGTAATATATAATATATTACATATAATGTAATGTATAATATATTATTTATATTATATAATATAATTTAATAATTATTAAAGAATTTAATTTAATAATTTATTTATTTACTAAATTATTTGGCTCAGCACTGGGGGAAAAGGCAGGTGTTTCTTTTTTATTTTTGCACCCTTTTCAATGGTGTAAATCCCATTTTGGAGGCTGGTTTGAGTGAGGATCCTGAGCAGGAGTCAGCAGATGGAGCTGCTGGGATGGACAAGAGTGACCTGAGCCACATGTGTGTCACCTCTTCCCTTTGCCAGCTGTGCTGCACTCAACAAGAAATGTTAAAAAATCTGTGTGGCAGCACTGAAATCCCCCTGGCATTTTGGTAGGGAGTAAAATATGTCCCCTTGGTAGGGATTAAAATGTGCCCCCAGATGTTTTCCTGAAGGACAGCCTTGATGTCCTCATGGCTGTGGTGGGCACATCACCCATCACATCTGTGCTCAGGGAGTGGGGTGGGCAGGAGTTCTGAAATGGGGAAATAGCTTCACCCTCAGGTGATTTGGGGTTCTCTTTTCACCTCTCAGATGGTTTTGGGTTGTCTTTTCACCCTCAGGTGTTTTTTGGGTTCTCTTTTCCCCCTTGAGGTGTTTTTGGGGTGTCCCATCAGCCTGGGCCAGCGTGCAGCGCTCACCCTCAGCAGTTCTGTACCCTCTGCCCCAAGCTGCTCCCGGCTGGAGCTGCCTGGGTGGGAAGGGGACCAGCAGAATAACGCAGTGATTGTCCCCCTGTGCTCTGTGCCAGCCCCAACGCTGCCAGCAGCAGGGATGGCCTGGACAACGAGACAGGAACCGAGTCCGTGCTCAGCCATCGGCGTGAGCGGCACCGGCGCAGGAACCGCGAGAGCCACGAGGACGGTGAGTGCCTCCTCATCCTCCCCTCCCTCATCTTCCTCACGGCTCCCAGAGCAGCAGCTCCTCTGTGGGGTTTGTGAGGGTCCCCAGGATGAGGTGAGAGAGGAGAATCTGACTCTGTGTTCGCAGAAGGCTGATTTATTGTGATATGATATGATGTTAAATAACATATGATATGATATATTCTATTCTCTATTCTATATTCTATTCTATTCTCTATTCTCTTATATACTATTTTATTTTATATTATATTATATTTTATTTTATATTACATATTCTCTTATATTAATGATGTTATGTTATATGATATTATGCTATACTATATTATACTATACTAAAGAATACAGAAAGGATACAGACAGAAGGTTTAGCAAGAATGAATAATAAAAACTCATTGCTGACGCCTCAAAGTCTGACACAGGTGATGGTGGTTGGTCATTAATTAAAAACAATTCAATGAAACCAATAAAACATGCACCTGTTGGTAAAGGATCTCCAGCCACATCCCAAAGCAGCAAACACAGGAGAAGCAATCAGATAATTATTATTTACTTTTTTCTCTGAGGCTTCTCAGCTTCCCAGGAGAAGAAATCCTGGTGAAGGGATTTTTCAGAAAATATCACAGTGACACTCCTCCTCCTCCCCAAGAGACTCCTGGCTGCATTCCTGCCAGCTTTCAGGGAGTCTTCATTATTACTTTAATGCAATAATTTGATAATTGCTCTGAAACTCTTTGAAGCTCAGCATTTTTGCCAGAAACACAGTGAAGTGGCAGAGAGATTGTTTTTGACAATGTGCAGAACTTTGTGTAGCATGAGAAGATGAATGGCTTGGCTGTTGATTTCTCAAGGTTTGGATCAGCTGTGGTGTTTTCTGCTGGTGTAACAGAGGCTCTGAAGATCTTTTTTTTTATACCTAAATGCGCCCAAAGTGCACCTGTAAAATGCAGAACTCCATCTCTTGCCTCTGGTCTGTACATCAAAGGAAGCTTGGGTTTTTCATTCATTGCCAGACAAGAATTTCCAGGCTTAATTAAGAATTAATAGGTGCCACCCATTGTGTTTAAAATGGTGCAGAATTTGGAATACTTGGGCCCAAGAAATGCCATCATAGCCTTTATTCACAACTCCACCCACCAAAGCAGTTGCCTCCAGTTAGAAATCAGATTTCTACTGAGGGATTCTGTTCATTTAACCCTTCCAGAGGGTCACTGATGAGGAGTGAATGGAAATCCCTCAGTGGGAGGAGCAGAGCTGTCTGTGCATGATCCTGACTGCATATTCCTTTGGGAACTGACAGAAAGAGGCAGAATCCTCTCACAGTGTTGATTAAAAACTTGTTGCAGGAAGAATGTGAAAAGGGGAGTTGTTTTAAGCATGAAATCAGTGCCAGGGCATGTTTTGCTCTGGATATTTTTGGCATAAGAGCTGGTGTTGGTGGATGGAATTATGTGAGCCTTGTAGTGGTCTGAAACCCATTCATGCATTTCCCTTGAGAAGGAGATGGGATTAGTTTGCCTCCTTTTACCAAAGCCCACGCAAGAACCTTACTACAGTCACAAACATTACTTTTCTCTGAATTTAGGCCTTCTGCCTGCAGTAGGTGAGTTCTGTTAGTGTGCATAGAGCAAGGAGAGCTGCTTTAAGGCATTATTCAATGTCCATGGTGTTTCTGTTGTCATAACAATATTAAATTTAGCAACAACAACATCCAGTACAATAACAACACCAGGAGTGTGTTGTTTTCAGTGGAAAGCAAATCTAAAATGCACAGTTCAGCTCTGTGTCCTGAATTGCACTGAAAGAAGTGAAATACCCAAAACCTGGGAAGGATTTTAAGCCCTTTTCATAAGAATGATCACGGGGTCACTCTTTTCTTGCACCTGCAAGTCTTGTGTGGATGGAAAATGGGGGAACAGCCTCTGGAGAAGGGGGACAAGGATGGGGAAAGGGCTGTGACACCTGGATCCAGCTGCTGTGTGCTGGGAAAATCCTCTCTGAAATGCAGCGAGAGTGTTTGATGTGCTCCTGCAGGGACTCGTTTGAAATGCCCAAATGACAGCCCTGGTGCTTGGCAGAGGGATCTCCTGCAGCTCTGTGTTACTCACAGCTTTGTGCCAGAGGATTTATTCCAGAGGCACAGGAACAGCTCACCCCAGCTGGACAATTTGGAAGTGTTTGGTACAAAGAATCACCCACCCTGGCAAAGAGGAAGGCAGTTCTTGTTCCACAGGAAAGCAGGCGCAGGGTGTTGCAGCCTTCATTTCAAACAGGTGAAGTGAGAAAAAGTGTGAAGGTGCCATTTGGGAACAGAAACAATGAGCCGGAACCTGAACAGGTCAAACAGGCTGAGCTCAGAGCAGTGGAATTGAGAGGTTCCACAGAATGAAGGTTGGGAAAACCCCAACACTAAACAAAGATTTTTTTGTGCTTCTCTCCATTTTAATTTACAAAAATTGCTTCCTAATTTTACTGGAAAACGTTGCCAGCTTTGAAGTGCAGCAAGATCCTTGCAGAGGTTTGGTTTGGAGTTGGGGTGATGAGAATTCCCCAGATTCTCCAGGGATAATGAGCAGTGTGGTACCACAGGTGGGTTGTTCAGCACAGCTGCCTGAAAATTTCCCTTCATTTCTGCAGGGTTACTCACCCCAAAAAAGCTGATTTTGCTGAATTCCACACACAGAGTGATAAATATTGATTGCAGCTGCAGCTGGAGGCTGTGGGACACACCTGGGTGATCTGACAGTGTTTTCACACCTCTTCCCATTGAAAATGCAAAAGGATTTGGGGTATCCGTAAGTTCTTCCACCCCTTTCCCATAAATTGCATTCCTGTTTTAAGTGCACAGACAATAATCTCCATCTGTGCTTGTATATTCTCTGATTTTAAAATAGTCCCCACAAAGATGGTGCCTTGAGGAATGGAATAAAACTTCTTTTTTGGAGCTGTGTGACACTGCAGATACAAACGTCAAGAAAACCTCGAGGAAAACCGATCTGGAAAAAAAAACATCAAGATGTCAGAGCTCCCAACAAATGTCCTCATTGCTTTGGGAGGTTGACAAAGTTCTTACTAAGTGAAAGTAGATCGAGGATCTTAATTGGGGTGGTGGGAGGTCTGCCTGGCACATGTGCTGGGGACCCCTGGCTGGGAGGAACAAAGCTGCCATGTCAGTTTGGTGAGCAGGAGTGGGAAAGGGGACTGCGGGAGCTCTAATTAGGGAGGTAATTAAGGGACAAGATGGTTTTTTTGGATGTTGAGGAATGTTTTATAGCTGCTGCTGGGTTCCTGACAAGTCTGCAGATGTCAATGTGGATGCTGAGGTTTCAACACCCACTTTGCTGTGGGGTCAGTTTAACTCTTGAGCAGCCTGTGAGAAATGCTGGAGAACCCTTCATATGGGCAGGCTCACAGATCCCCAAATGTTTGGGAAGAGAAGCAGCTGCAGATTTCCCCTGGCTGCTGCAATATGTGGAGTTTTAACTGTGATTTATGACTGCAGGAGGGCTGGGATTGCAAAACAGCTGGGGTGGGCATGTTGGGCCTGACTGGGGCTGTGTGAGGATCCAAAGAACTTCAGTCCCAAGGCAAGTCAGGGCACAGGGATGCACCCATAAGGCAGGATGACTAATAATAAAGTGCTTTTCAGACCTTCTGATATCACCTTTGTCTGTCTCCAATACCCCTTCAGTGACAATTATTTATCCTTTTTCTTTCTTGGTTTCTATGTCAACCTTGGTAGGAAATTCTTTCAGGGGATAAACATGGATCCTCTTCTCAAACTTCTCTCTGGCTCAAAGAATTCACTGTAAAACCTCTCCTACATCTCCTGCTGTGGTGCCACAACCCCACTGTAGCCACATTTCTCTTCACAGAGAAAAGCAAGGCACAACTTCCCAAGAGTATTTCTGGGATTCACATTCTCTAAACCTCAGAGAAAGGAAAAACAGCTCTTATCTCATTTGCTGTGCCTGTGTTTGTGCAAAATTAGAATGCAAGATGGAGATTGTTTACCCAGGGGGATGGAGTTTTGTTTCATTGGCCTGTCAGGGCCAGTTGCATGTGTGGGGACTGTTGGGTGATAGTCACCAGATGAGTGCAGTTGAATGCTTGAATGCTTGGCAAATTCAGTTTAGATGTAATGGAATATAGTGTAATATAATATAGAATAATATAGTATATATATATATATATATATATATATATATATATTCATAATAAAGAAATAGTATATTATAGTATATATAATATACGATAATATATAATCTACTACACTAATATAATATGGAATAATATAGTATAATAAAGTAATTAATTAACCTTCTGATATCAATGGAATCCTCCTCATCATTTCCTCTACTTCATCAGGGGCAAAAATATCTATGATATCCCCCTGGGCTGTAACACTCTATTATAGTAAATATAATATGATATGATATAATATAATATGTAATATCATATAATATGTAATATCATATAAACATACTGTAGTATAATATAGTAAAATAAAGTAATTAATTAACCTTCTGATATCAATGGAGTCCTCCTCATCATTTCCTTTACTTCATCAGGGGCAAAAATATCTGCAATACCCCCCTGGTCTGTAACACTCCTTTCCTGTGCCCTGCAGCCCCCAGGATCAATGGGCACCCCAAGCTGGATAGGCACCGGGAGCATCCCCCTGGCTACGACAGCTCCTCCACCATGCTGAGCAGTGAACTGGAGTCCAGCAGCTTCATCGACTCTGAGGATGATGACAACACCAGCAGGTACAGCCCTGCCAGGGACACAGCGCTGGGCACCTCTTGGGCTCCTCGTCTCTTTTTTTTTTTTTTTTTTTTTTTTTTTTTTTTGGTGGGGGGGAGTTTGGGTTTTTTGGGTTGGATTTTTTTTGTTTTTTTCCTTTCATTTCTTTAGTGATTTTGATGCCTTGATAAGGAACAGAGACTAGATAAAGAATAAAGTAGGGATTTATGAAAAGTTTCTCCTCAATGTATCCACCTTGGGCAGCACAAGAGCTCAGCCAGGGCTGTACCCGAGATGAACCAAAATGGTCCCAAAATGCATGGCCAGGCACGGGGTCTCTCACTTTGATCAGTTCTGCTCCATTTGCATCTTGGAGTGAATTGTCCCATTCCAGCTTTAGCCCATGCAGTCCCATCCTTGTTTTTCTCTCTCCAGCCCACGGTCTTTGTGCTCCTGGGCTGGGATTTGGATCATTTGTCCTTGGTGCCCAGCTGGAGCAGGAATTGCTTTGTCTCCCTGCTCTGTGCACAGAGCTCACCATCCCACAGTATGAAGCCCAGACCCACCGACTAAAGCAGCACAGAATGTGAAAAATAGAAAAGCCAAAACCTGAGGCATCAGTACAGAATCTGAAAAACAGAAATGCCAAAGCCTGAGGCATCACTTTGAGCACAGGTTGTTCATCAGTGCCATCTCTGTGTGGAATCACTGCTCAGTTTTTGGGTCGAGGGTCTGGACCAAATATATAATTCTATGAATTATACCTAAAAGTTATATCTAAAGATGTTTTTGTTTTTCTTTAAGAAGTCTTTACCTCTGTTACTGGGTCCAAACCACTGTTCCAGTTGAAAGAAAAGCTCTGCTTCTCTCCTTTTCATAGCAGCAATGGCCACATTTCCAGATCAAAGCACTCTGCCTACCTATTTATAAAGCAGTGGTGTGAATATTAAAACAAAATACTGTCAGCAGAGGTTCCTAATAAGTGTGCACTTTACTGGAGCTCAATTATAGAGGAATACCTGGGTAATTGCATACTCTGAGACCTATGAGCAGTTCAGGAATTCATCAAAGTTAATGCTGTTGCAAAGGCTGCCATGGATTTGTGGCTTCTTCTTATTTCTTTCTTTTTGTGTAGGCAGAGTGTGTGAATTATTCCCTACTTGAAAAATACCTCTCATTTCAAGACATCTTTGTTATATTTAAAGATGTTTTTGTTTTTCTTTAGGAAGTCTTTAAGCCAATACATTTCATGGATTTAAAATATTTCTTTTCATGGATGTAAAACAAATCTAAAGTATTTTCTTTCCTTTTCCTGGCCACATTCTCTGGAATATTCTTCATTTTCCTGGCCACTGGCTCTAGAGCTGTTGTTCATCCCAGGGGACTATGAAAATCCAGCATGGATTTGTCAGAGGACAACAGGGTGACAGATCTCTGGTGGGTCACAGTGATCTGCAGCTAAAACAAATAAGGCAGAACATGGTAATTTTAATAAAGCCATGAGATTTTTAAAAACAGCAAAAAGCAACTACTCCTGGAGATCCTGAACCTCTTGATGTGCTTACAAACATGGTCAGCTTTTGGGTCTTGGTGGATCTGTTGGGTCTTGCAGCTGGTCAGGGTTTAAAGACCTCACAATTCTGATTAAAGGCTGAGAGTTCCCAAAGGGCTGAAAGGATAACTAAAATCCACATTAGAGATTTAGTTCTGAATTAGTTTCAAGAATTTATTTTGCACTCCCAGTGAAGTGCAGGGTGTCCCTGCACATGGCAGGTGTTGGAATAAGATGCGTTTAAGGCCCCTTCCAACCCAAACCATTCAATGATGAGATATAAAAAAGCACTTTTCTGGATATTTCCCTGCATGGAGGGATGGTCCTTAACCCTGAATGCACCCAAAACTTTCAGGGCTTTGAGCCCTCCCCCAAAACCTGGAGCCCACAACAACAAAACCCTGCAGGTGATTTGTGTTTCTTGTAAATAAATGAATAATTCCCATGGCAGCCAGCAATGCAGTGGGACAGGATTAGCTCAGGGTGGCCACATTAGAGCAGACCCAGCGAAATCTCACAGTATGAATAAAATAATAATAAAACTTCCTGAGTCTGACCTGAGAAGAAAGAGATTCTTGGAAGCTGCTGCTCCTGCCTTTCCCTCTGGAGGCTGGGCAGGAGTTTTTGGCACAGGAGGAGCTGCCAGTCCAGCTAGTCAGGAAGAACCACTGCAGGAATGCTCCAAGGTATGCTGCTGTGTTCCAGGGGTGATGATGATGTTCTCAGGCACAGGAGACTTGGTGCTGGCAGGGAGAAGTTTTCTGTAGAGGCAAATCAGGCAAAGAGCAAATGGAGAAGGTTCCAGAGCTGCTGGAGGCACCAGCCTGGGGACAGAGGAGAGATCCGAGGGGTGAGTTTGGCTCCTGAGGGACACATCCCCTGGGGGCAGAGGGGTTTGAAGGGTCAGTTTGGTTTCTAACAGCTGATGGATACATCCTCTGGGGTCTGAGGGGTGAGTTTGGTCCCTGATGGACACACCAGTGCGGGACAGAGGGTCTGAGGGGACAGTTTGGAGTTTGGTCCCTGGTGGACACATCCCCTAGGGACTGAGGGGTCTGAGGGATCACTTTGGTTCCTGATGGACACTCCAGCTTGGGGACAGAGGGGTCTGAGGGGTCAGTTTGATCCGTGATGGGCACATCCCCTGGGGACAGAGGAGTCTGTTTGGTTCCTGATGGACACATCAGTGTGGGGACAGAGGGGTCAGTTTGGTCCCTGAGGGACACATCAATGTGGACACAGAGGGGTCAGTTTGGTCCCTGGTGAACACATCCCCTGGGGTCTGAGGGGTCAGTTTGGCTCCTGGACTCTGGTGGGTTCTGGTGCTTTGTGGGGAGGCTGTCAGAGAGGAGGCTCTGAGGCAGGAAAACAGAGGGAAGGGATGTTGCAGTCCTGGAAGGGAAGAGTTTGTGAGCTGAGGATGCTTTTCTGCCTCAATTTGGTTTTATTTGAACTCAGAGCAGTGGAACAGAGCTGGGTAATTCCCAGCCCAAGAAAGCTCTGTTGCATTCAGTTAAAGAGTAAAGTCATGTTTTGGTGAATTAACCTGTTCACAAACATTCCAGGACAGTGCAGAATGACAGGGGGAGCACAATCATTTATTTCCTTTTTTTTCCAAGTGTTTGACAATTTTTTAACAATTTTTTTTACAAATTAAACGTTTCTGTTGTTAGCAGGTAGGATTTTGAGCACAGATTGATGTAGGGAACTTTACAGTAAAAGGTTTCTTCTGTCTTCTTTAAAGTAAAGGTTTAACAAATCTGACATCTGTAGCTGTGGGATTATTGTCAGCAATTGCTGCTCTCAGTTCAATGCAGCTAAACGAATTCACTGCAAAAAAATTGTTTATTTCTCATTTAAGAAATTACCATAATTTCTTTTTAAGACATGTGAATAAGCTTTCTTTAACAAATGTTGCCTTTTTTCCTGTCCTTTGAGAATTGTAGAATGGAGAAAAAATTATTGCTATTATTATTATTATTACAGTATTTTTAAAAGTCTCTTCTGTGGCATTTATTGACATTTGTACTAGAAGTGCAGTCAGGGTTTTTGAGCAGAAATTAGCTGGAGCAAGAAATTAATTGGCAGTGATAATTCCAGATTTATTTTTCATCTTTGCACTTTATTTGTCTCAAAAGCTCAAATTTACCATCTTGTCTTGCTCATCAGATTGTAATAACAACAACTTCTACCCAGTATTTCTGGAGATGCTTCAGAGAGCAAAATATTCCTCATTAGAGGAGGTATGAGCTGCTTTTTAGCATCCCTATGCTCCCAGAATATTAAGGTTTCAACAAGGATGCATTAAGGCTGTGGATTGAGCAGAAATCACAAGGAGAGATGATGAAAATAGGTGTAAAAATGTTCCTGCAGAGCCTTCTGATCTGCAATTTTGTGCAGCTGGTATTAACCTTTTAAAAATGAACTTTTATTTTTTCCCTGAAATATTTTGTGTCCCCCTTGAACTAAACCTGAGCTTTTCTCAGGGGCTGATTCTCATCCTTCCATCCTAATACTGAGAAGAATGGCAAAAATACAACAAGAAAATCTTCACTTCTCAGATGTTATCACCTGCTAACAGGAGCTCAGGGATTTGCCAAGAAAGTCTGGTTTTGCTGGTTTAATTTGAGAGAAAAATGTACTTTTAGGGAGCAGGCAGCTGTGGAGTGAGTGCCTTGGATTTCCTCAGATTCTCCTAAAGTGGGAAATTTTAGCTGAGGGAAGAGGAGGAGAAGGAAATGGGAGAGGAAGTAGGAAGGGGGAGAATATTGACAGCAAAATAAAAGATGAGGGTTTTTTGTCAATCTTTGATGAATATTGAACAAACCCGGTTTTGGAAACCCTGGATTTGACACCTCCGTGTTTTTCCTGTTGGAAGACAAAACCTCCTAACCTCAGATGCTGTGTGAGCTGTTTTACCAACCAGAAATCATCACATTTTGGATATTTTTTAATAAAATCCCACCTCTTGGCTCTTCAGTTCCCCTTGCTGGGAGGGGAAGGAGGAGTGTGTGAGGTTAACATGCCTGAAATATTTGTGTGAGCTCGAGGGAATGTCAGGAGATTCACACCCTCTGAGCAGCTCCAGGGCTGATACTTGATAAAAATATTTCAGGCCAGAGGGGTTTCCTGTGGGCAATTCCTTTTTGGAATTGCTGGCATCAAGTTTTTGAGGTATTGTCACATTCCTGCATGTGGCTGGAACATGGAATTCAGGGATGTGGAAATTGGGGGGAAAAGCCTGGCAGTGTTTGTTTTGTGTATAATGTTGGAATTTTTAATCTTGGTTAACGATGGAACATTGCTTTGGTTTTTTGTTTGTTTGTTTGGGGTGTTGTTGTTGTTGTCTTTTTTTTTTTTTTTTTTCCATTCTTACATAATAAATAGAGGAGAGATGTCTCTCTGGTGTTATAGTGATATTTTAATAGTCTGGGCTTTGTTCCAGGCTCCTGAAATTAATTTGGGCAAATCCATTTCTGTCTCATTCTGTTCTCTGTAAAGTGAGGATGGTTAATGCTCCAAACTCTTATTAAAGACCTTAAAGATTTATATGTAAAATGTGACACATATAGGTTCTGCAAGTTTGGAGAGCCTGGAGAAACAGCAAATTAAAAGTTAACAGGATATGTGAAGATAAATCATATTCGTTGTCCCCCTGTTACCAAGTTCTATTTGATTTCTTTAAATTCAAGCCTTGAATTCCTGGTAACAGTGGAAGAAAATTCAGCACCATGCCAGGACTCACAGAAATGAGCATTATGGGTTGCACTCAGACCTGCTGCCAGGAGAAAACAAGTGCTAAATTAAACAATAATCAAATTATTCATCTGGTCCCTGCTGTCCTTGAGCTGGAATCTCCTGCTGAGCTGTGTATGCGATTTCCCCAGTCCTGCTGCTGCAGGAATCAGCTCCTGCCGGTGGCGGAGCCTCTCGGGGGTAACATTTGCTGTCTTTGCCCTCAGGTTGAGCAGCTCCACGGAGCAGAGCACCTCGTCCCGCCTCATCCGCAAGCACAAGCGCCGGAGGAGGAAACAGAGGATGAGGCAGATTGACAGGGTAAGGCTGGCACCAGCAGCACCCAGGGAGCTGAACTGGGAGTTCTGAGTGGAGCTCTTGGCTCAAGAAGGGATCCAGGACAGGTCTGTGCCTGTTGAATTCACTGGGAAGGTTCCCTGTGGCTCCAGGCTGGGCTTAATCTCTGCATTTGATGTTCTGCGGCTCCAGAGTGAAGCTTTCACCTCTCCCTTTCTCCTTTCACTGTGCAGTGATCCCATTTCTGGTCTTTTCCAAGATAAATCTCTGCAGGAGAAGCTCCATTATGGTGTGGGAAGGGGTGTGAGATACCCTGAGACCTGCTGGGAGGAGAAATCCAAGTTCACAGGAAATCCCAAATCTTTCTCTCTGCCCTTCCCTGTGCTAGTCCTGGGCAGCAGGATGAGGGTGATCCCACAGACAGACCCTGAAATATCTGTTTTATTCTCCCATAAATCTCTGTCTCCACACATCAAAGAGTGACCTCACACACATTTTATCACAGGATAGTGTTTCAGAAGGTCTTTGCTAAGCACCTTTGTATTTCATTTTGGAGGAAGGGCAGTTTCTCTCCTCTCCCCTCCTGCTGGATCATGCGCTGTTCACTCCTCCCTTTAGGGAGGAGCTGTGGGTGCAATAATTCACACTATGCTGGGCACTTTAGGATCCAAATGTTTGCCTGACAGTCGCAGCCAGGAAGCAGAAATAATTCCAGGGGAAGTTCAGCTGAGAAACCTCAGTATAGGAAAGTGCTCTGTGTGTTTTGTGATCAGACCTTTGGAGAAAGTGCAGACTCTGCTCAGATTTCTTTCCTTAAAGTCTCTAAATGAAGCATAATTTTGAGGAAACCTCAATAATTTCTGTCTGTAAATTCAATTGGAATCCTCTTAATTCCTGATGAGTTAATCCTCAGCAGTTCTTACTCTGAGCCATTTAAAACCTTGAGACTTTTTCTGTTGTGTTTTGCAGTCGTCCTCGTTCAGCAGCATCACTGACTCCACCATGTCCCTAAACATCATCACTGTCACGCTCAACATGGGTAAGAGGACAAGCCACATTTTTTATTATGAATTTTGAGTGGCAGAGATGTATTTGGTATTTCTCTGGATTCCTAATCCGGAACTGGGCCATTTTCACCAGCAGATCAGTGTTCCTTCCAGGGAAGGAGCTGGAACTGCAGCCTGTGGGGTTAATGGTGAGGGATTGGGGTAGAAAGGCACTGGGCATTTGCATTTCTGCTGCTCCTGTGTTTCATTTGTCAGCCAGGCAGAAATGTGCAGGGCTGCCAGCAAATTCAGCACCTTTCAGCAGCACCAAACCCTTCCTGCCTCTCTGACATGTGGAACAAACATTGCCTAATGTGTTCAGTGCTAATTTCCAGGTGTGGACAAGTCTTTTCAGTGCTCTTCCTCTTGCTGTTGTTTTGTTTTTTTTTTTAAAGTAACACTGTCTTGGATGAAAAAATCCTGTCTTTAGCAGCCTTTCCCTGAAGGTGCCAGGCAAATATTCATCATTAGAGCAGCCTGAGATCATTGCAAGTCAAACCTTGCCCTGCTGATGTGCTGAGATGTTTCAAAGCTGAAACAGCCTCGCTCTTTGCTATCATTCCAATCACTTTATCTGCTTTTTTTTCCCCTTTCCCCACCCTTTACTTTGTGTCCATCTAGAAAAGTACAACTTCCTGGGGATCAGCATTGTGGGGCAGAGCAATGACCGGGGTGATGGTGGCATCTACATCGGCTCCATCATGAAGGGAGGGGCGGTGGCAGCAGACGGGCGCATCGAGCCAGGGGACATGCTGCTGCAGGTGGGTCCCTGTCCCCGAATCCTGCTGCTCTGCCCTGCCATCCCACCAGCCCCACGAGCTGTAGTCAGCAGGGAACAGAATTTATTCATCCTCAGAGAAATGTGGCCCAAAGATGGCTGAAATTGGTGATTCTTTGTGAGACACTCTGAGAAACGACATCTCAAAGGAATGGAAGTGGTGACCGTTAAGTGGTGGGATGGAAGTGGTGACCAGGCAGATAAATTGGGGGATTCATGAAGTAATTAAAACAACTTTTAACTTTCATGCTGCAAGGCTGACCTCTGCTCTCTGTTTCAGGTAAATGATGTCAATTTTGAGAACATGAGCAATGACGATGCCGTTCGGGTTCTGCGGGAAATCGTCTCCAAACCAGGGTGAGCACATCACAAAAAGCCTTCCTGTTTATCCTCCTTGTGCAGTTGTTGGAGCTGGGAAACCTCAGAGAAATCAACATTCTGATACCCATCAGCATGACTGATTTCAGCTGTGAACTTCTCAGTGTAAATGATGAATAGGTGAGGTTGGTTCTGGCAAAAAAACCAACATGAATTGAGGAGTTGCCTGCTTTCAGCAGAGCTGTTTGTTTATGTGATGAGAATTTTAATATCTCAGGAGCTGATCATCCAACAGATTTCACCACCAGTGCTCATCATCTGTGCAAAATCAGGAACCTCCTGATGTGCTTCATACTGAAAATATTAGAAAGTTTCTCAAAACTATTCATACTTAAAATATTATAAAGCTTCTCAAACCCATTCATACTTAAAGTATTATAAATCTTCTCAAAACCATTCTCAGAATGTACTTGACAACTGTTGAATAAAAACAAATTTGTTTCAAATAGTTCTTGTAGCATTTCCAGCTCTGTAGGAAATTCAAGAATCATCCTTAACCTGTTTTCTTTCTTCCTAGACCTATCAGCCTAACAGTAGCCAAATGCTGGGACCCTACTCCCAGGAGTTATTTCACCATCCCCAGGGGTGAGTACACATTTAAACTCTTTGCTGGGTTCCTGGGAAGCTCCCAAGATCTGGAATATTTTGGCACCTAACAGATTCTACCCATTCAGTCCTTTAATTGTTTACTTTTGTATTGGGAGCCTGGGGTTCCACTGCCCATTGAGTTTCTGGGAGTTTTTCTCTTGGTTCTCATCTTTGGATCCATCTCCTAAACTTCTGGGAAGTCATCTTAACCTAACAATTCATAAAAGGTTTGGAAATAATTATGCCAAGTGTTAAAAACCCTCATTTTCTCACAGTGAATCCTTAGAGAGAACTGAGTATTTTGAAGATGTGAGGGAAGCAGCATTAATAGACATTTAAAAAAATGAAAATTATCTTATTTTCATTAGCAGTAAAAGATCTGTGCTCATGTGACAAACACAGCTGCCTCCTGCTGGTGAGGGCTGTGCTGGTGGTGCTGGAATCAGTTTGTTCCCAGTCCACAGAAGATGACAGTGGCAGTGAAGATGGGGTGGAATAAATGCAACAAACCAGTGCAGACTGTGGGAGTCCTCTTGAAACCCTTAGGAAAACCAGAGAAACAACAAGAGAACAAGAGAAAACCTCTCAGATCTCTCAAAATCTTGGTGTTTGCTGCAAGTTTTGACACCATTTTCTGTCCCTTTGTCGTGGTACAATCTATGGGATCTCACTCATGTGAACCCCTCAGAAAACTAGAGAAACAACAAGAAAAAATGATAAAACCCCTCAGATCTTTCAAAATCTTGGTGTTTCCTGAAAATCTTGAGCCTGTTTCCTGTACCCTTGAGTGAGGTGCCAACTATGGCACCTCACTCATATGAAACTCTCAGAAAACTAGTGTAACCGAAAGAAAACCCCTTAGATCTCTCAAAACTTTGGTGGCTCCTGCAAATCTTGAGCCTGTTTTCTGTACCCTTGTGGTCGTGCCAACTATGGCACCTCACTCACACGAAACCTTCAGAAAACGAGGGAAACAACAAGGAAACCAGAGAAACTGCAAGAAAACATGATAAAACCCCTCAGGTCTTTCAAAACCTTGGTGTTTGCTGAAAGTTTTCACCCCATTTTCTGGGCCTTTGGATTGGTGCTGACTACGACACCTCACTCACACAAACCCCTCAGAAAACCAAAGGAACAACAAGAAAACACGATAAAACCCCTCATATCTCTCAAAACCTCAGCGTTTCCTATACATCTTGACCCCATTTTCTGTCCCTTTGTGGTGGTGCCAGCTATGGTACCTCACTCATGCGAACCCCTCAGAAAGCCAAAGAAACAACAAGAAAACAAAATAAAACCCCTCAGATCTTTCAAAGTCTTGATGTTTGCTGCATTTCTGACCCTGTTTGCTGTCCCTTTATGGTGGTACCATCTGTGGGGTCTCACTCATGTGGAACCTTCAGAAAACCAGAGAAACCACAAGAAAACACAGTAAAACCCCTCAGATCTCTCAAAATCTTGGTGTTTCCCGCAAATCTTGACCCTGTTTCCTGTCCCTTTTGCTCGCAGCTGAGCCGGTGCGGCCAATCGACCCCGCGGCGTGGATCTCTCATACCACGGCCATGACGGGAGCGTACCCCCGTTACGGTATGAGCCCCTCCATGAGCATCACCACATCTACCAGCTCCTCACTAACAAGCTCAATTCCCGAGTCGGAAAGTAAGTCACCCCCTGGCCAGCCCTGGGCAGGGGGCTGCTCGGGGCCACCAGGGCCCGGCCACAGGCACGGTGACAGCGGCAGCGCCAGCCAGGCCTTGAGTGGTTTCTCACACTTGGGGAAAGCAGGAGAACTTTTGGCGAAGGTTGGAGGTTGATGTGGACGTGTTTGGTCAGGGTTTTTTCTCAAGGAGAAGTGGTTGCTGGTGGATTTTAGTGGTAGGTTCAGGTTTTTCCACTCAAGTGCACATTTGGTTGGTTTTTAATAAATTTCAACAATAATGTTCAGGTTTCACTTGGGAAGTCCTTCTCTGATATTCACATGGCCATCTTTTATACTTTTGATAAGTTCAGGTTTTTCCACTCATGTAGATGGGAGACTCCCTTCTTGCATTTAGTTGGTTTTTAATAGATTTCAACAATAACGTCAATGTTTCCCTTGGGAAATCCTTCCCTGATATTCACATGGCCTTCTTTTATATTTTTAAATAGTTTTTTTGTTCTTCTTTATATTCCTAGAATTTATTGAGCAAGCTAAAACTAAATTTAACATCCTACGTAAAATTATGGTTAGATTTCAACCTGTTTCCTGGTTTGGCAGTCTGAAACAGCCATATCCATGAAACCAAGAGGTTGGATTTTAAAGATAGGTTCAGGTTTATCCACTCAGGTGAATGGGAGAGCTGTATTCTTGCATTTACTTGGTTTTTAATAAATTTCAACAATAATGTCAGTGCTTTCTTATGGGAAATCCTTCCCTGATATTCATATGGCCTTCTTTTATGCCCAAAATGGGAGCATTTCGGATGCATCTCAGAATTTGCCATATTTGTACAGCAGCCAGAACTTTAAAAATACCAATTTTCTGTTCATATGCAGATCTTAGGTGTCCAAGAAAATAGAATTTATTGCTCCCTAATATTAGTTTGTTGGTGTAGTTTTTTTCCCAAGACATGTTGCTTTTTGCCACTAACCAAACTAACTTAAAGCAAAAGCAAAGTTTTGGTGTTTATTTGAGGTTTGTAAGTATTGAAGCTGCATGCAGAGCTGGTCTGGGATGTTTTCATGCATATTGGCAGTGCATGTATGGCAAGAAACATTTTCAGTTTTCATTGTTTCACGTTTGCTGTACCTTTTTTTATCCAAAATTTTGGGTGGCTGGAAAAGGACAAAAGTGCTTTTGAAAGGTGGGTGATGTGGGGAACTGGGAGGGGAGGAGGGTTCTGGAATTCCTGCTGGAGAAGGGTCTGGCCTACAAACAGAGATAAAAATGAATTTTCTAGGGCTGGAAAATGGGACAAGACAGAGAATTTGACAAATTCAACCTTGTTCTTATTTTATTGTAAAAAATGATGAGGAAAGTGTGAGACCTCTGGGGATCCAGTTCTGCCTGTAATGATGTGAACTGGGAATGGCTGGGGAGGCATTTGGGAGTTTTTTTAAAATGTTCCACGAAAAAAATTGAGGGCAAAGCAATCCTGGGAGGAGTGGATTGTGAAGGGACCCTGGGAAGGGTTTTTGTAAGAAAATCCCTGATTTCTTCTGAGAAGGGAAGATTTCTTTTATAATTTAATTTTCCTCATGAATTTCCAGATCTTTAAATAAAAAACTGGACATGGATTGACCATGGTCACCCTTTCTGCATGGAGATGGGGGGTGCTCCTGACAGGGAATCCCAAAAGAGCAAACCCCAAAAACTTGTCCCCCAGAGTTCCTGGGAAATTGAAATGGAAAATGATGGATCACAAAAACCCTTGGGTTTCCTTTCCTGCCTGTCTGGATGCAGAGAGGATCCTGCAGCTGCTTTGGGAAGCCAGGATGTGGGGACTCAGAATTTCTGTCACTAAACTGATGGCTTTGAGCCCAAAATCTAAACTGGTGGCCTTGAGCCCAAAATTGCTGCAAATGCTGTAATTCACTTTGTGGATGAGGGTGCATTTGGAAATCTTTATGTCTTTATTTTATTTTACTTACTTTACTTTACTTTATTTTACTTTTTAAAATTTTATTTTAATTTTTATTTTATTACTTTTATTTTTTGTATTTATTTAATTTTCTTTTAAAAATTAAATTTTAGTATTTTTATTTTTATTTTTTATTTTATTGTACAGTATTTTATTGTATTTATTTTATTTCATTTTATTTTTAAAATTTTATTTTAATTCTTTATTACTTTTATTTATTTCATTTTTTATTGTATTTCATTTTCTTTTTAAACTTTATTTTAATTTTTTATTTTATTTTATATTGAATTTTAATTTTTATTATTTTTATTTATTTTATTTCCTTTTAATTTATTTTCATTTTTCTTTTATTATTTTTATTTATTTTAGTTTTTCATTTAATTGTATTTTATTGTATTTATTTTATTTTTATTTTATTTTTATTTTTATTTTTATTTTTATTTTTTATTAATTTTCTATTTTATTGTATTGTATTTATTTTATTAAATTTTATTTTTCAATTTTATTTTATTTATTTTTTTGCATCTGTTGGTAAAACTGTATTTTTATTTCATCCAAACTCGGAGCTGAGAAGTTCCTTCAGGCTGAGTTCATTTCACAGCAGCCTGTGGCCTCTCTTCCTTTCAGAATTAGAAGACTCTCCCTTAACTGTGAAGAGTGACATGGCTACTATTGTCAAGGTCATGCAGCTGCCAGACTCAGGCCTTGAAATTCGGGACAGGATGTGGTTAAAAATCACCATCTCCAATGCAGTGATAGGTAAGCAGACCCCAGAAATGCTGAGAGGGAAAAAACCCAGTGATTTAATTAAAAAACTACCTTTTAATGAGCTTTTTTTTCATGTCTTTGACCTCTTATATTCCATTTATGGGCAGGAAATAACTCGTGTCCATGTAGGTGTTCAAATGGCACAATTTGGCTCAGAAAATCCCACTTTAGATGTTCAGCTGGCCCAGTTTGGCTCAGATGATTTCACTGTAGGTGTTCAGCTGGCACAGTTTGTCTCAGATAATTCCAATTTTAGGTGTTCAACTGGCACAATTTGGCTGAGATTATCCCACTGTAGAAGTCCAGCTGGCTCAGGTCATTTCATTTTAGGTTCACCTGGCACAATGTAGCTGAGATGACCCCGTGTCTCCCCTTACTGTCCCCATTTCAGGAGCAGACGTGGTGGACTGGCTTTACACACATGTGGAAGGCTTCAAGGACCGCCGGGAGGCACGGAAATACGCCAGCTCCATGCTGAAACACGGCTACCTCAGGCACACTGTGAACAAAATCACCTTCTCAGAGCAGTGCTACTATGTCTTCGGAGACCTCTGTGGCAGTAAGTCCCCAGCTGGGAAGGACAGAACTGGCCCCATGTCATTTCTGTGCCTTGAGGGTGTCCATTGTCCCCTCGTGTGTCCTCACAAAGAGGGATTTCCATGAGGGTGGCAGAGTTCTGGAGCTGCTCAGTGTAGCCGTGACATTTTCTGAAAAATTCTTTTATTAGGATTTTTTCTCCTGAGAAGCTGTGAGGCCTCAGGAACAAAATGTAAACAATGGTTATCTGCTGCTGTGGAATGCGACAGGGGCATCTGTGATTGGTCTCATGTGGTTGTTTTTAATTAATGGCCAATCACAATCCAGCTGTCTCGGACTGTCTGGTCAGTCACAAGATTTTATTATCATTCCTTTCTATTCCTTTCAAGCATTCTGATGAAATCCTTTCTTCTATTCTTTTAGAATTGTTTTAATATATCATTTTCTTTTAATATAATATATATCATAAATATATATAATAAAATAGGTAAATCAGCCTTCTGAAACCTGGAGTCAAGGTTCTCATCTCTTCCCATGTCAGGGCTGCCTGGAAACTTCCACAGCCCAGAGGAGGCGGAGTCTCTCTGGAGATATTCCAAACCCAGCAGGACACATTCCTGTGTCACCTACAGGACATTCCTGTGTCACATGCTCCAGAATTGGACAGGGGGATCTCCAGAGGTCCCTTCCATCCCTGCCTCTCCAGGGGTGGCCCAGAACAGGGGACATCACCCTGAAATTGTGTGACAAGTGGCTGGTGCTCCCTGGTAGCAAGGAGAGCTCCCGGAGGAGGATGAACTCATCAAGCAAAGCACTGAGGACAGCAGGATTTATTTCTGGTGGTGCCACACTGATGTCATAGGATTTAGCTTTTTTATTTTCCAGATTCTGTGCTGATGCCTCAGGTTTTAGTTTTTCTGTTTTTCACATTCTGTGCTGCTTTAGTCGGTGGGTCTGGGCTTCATACTGTGGGATGGTGAGCTCTGTGCACAGAGCAGGGAGACAAAGCAATTCCTGCTCCAGCTGGGCACCAAGGACAAATGATCCAAATCTCAGCCCAGGAGCACAAACACCGTGGGCTGGAGAGAGAAAAACAAGGATGGGACTGCATGGGCTAAAGCTGGAATTGGACAATTCACTCCAAGATGCAAATGGAGCAGAACTGATCAAAGTGAGACCCCGTGCCTGGCCATGCATTTTGGGACTATTTTGGTTCATCTTGGGTTCATTTTGGGACCATCTTGGGTACAGCCCTGGCTGGGCTCTTGTGCTGCCCAAGGTGGATCTGTTGAGGAGAAACTTTTAATAAATCCCTGCTTTATTCTTTAGCTCTGTCTAGTCCCGGTTCTAGGGCAGCTTTCACATTCCCTGCTGTCAGTCCCACTGGAACAGGGGGATGTCCCCACCGTGTCCTCACTCTTCCCTCCCCTCTCCCTGCTGTGTGAGAAGGCTGATTCCAAGGCATTGCTAAGCTTCAAAAACCTCCATAAATAAATTCACAGTGATCATTTTACCTGCTGAGTAAGAATTTTTCCCCTTTTTTCTTTCCCAGATCTGGCTGCACTGAACCTCAACAACGGTTCCAGTGGCGCCTCTGACCAGGACACCCTGGCTCCTCTCCCACACCCTGCTGCTCCCTGGCCCTTGGGCCAAGGATATCCCTACCAGTACCCTCTGCCCCCTCCTTGTTTCCCCCCAGCCTACCAAGATCCTGGTTTTAGCTATGGCAGTGGCAGTGCAGGCAGCCAGCAAAGTGAAGGTAAGCTGGGCTAAAAGGGTTTTATCCCACAGCTCTCATTGTTCCCCACCATCTGCTTGAGGTCCTCAGTGCTCTCCGTGCTTGTCTTGTGGTTTTTTTGCTCCCTGCATGGATTTTGTGCAATGAATTAAAGGTGTTTGTGGCTCTGGAGGAGGGGGTTTGGCTTTCAGCTCTCTGTGGGAAGTGCCAGGTTTAACCCAGGCAGGGATTGCCAGCAGTGGGGTTGGTGTTGCTGGAATTGAGGCGATTTCTGTGTTGCTGGGACAGGGGTTAGAACCAAGGTGCTCTTGGCTTGCAGATCAGTGCTCAGCACAAAAGGAAAATCACATTTTTTGTAAGTGGGAGGTGGCCAGCCATGGCTTTCCAGGGCTGAAACACTGCTCCCAGGGAGGAGAGTCTCTGCTGGCATGTGTGACAGGGACAGGAAGAGAACTCTGCATGGATTAAAGACCTGCCCTCCTCCTTTTCTGCCCTAAATTCATTTTAACCTTAGTAAATTAAATCACGTCTTTTTCTTGCTGTAGAGATGCTATTTTTTAATTTTTATTTTATTTTAAACCACTCCCAGAGTGAGTTTTGCTTTTGGAAATGCTGCCAGTAAAGAAGGGGTGAGGATTCCTTGTGTTTTTTCAGTGAACATCCAATAAATTGGATGTCACTTATGCCTATTCACCACAGCCAGTCAGATTTTACAAAATGGCACAAAAGGGTTTCATAACAGGGGATTTTAGACCAGCTGCATGTCACCTTATACCAAAATAAGAAATATCCATGAGGAATCTCCCAGAGGCTTTAGAACTAGAAACTGCCCTGGACAGAAAGTGGGGGTGGTTTTTTGGCAGCTGCTTCTGTGAGCAGCAGGAATTCTCTCCCTGCTGCTGGATTAGGAAAGGAAAGGTGGCACTCCCAAAAAGTGCCAGGGTGTTCAGCTCTGAAAGGTTTCCATGCTTTTCCTGGTGGAAACCAATTTCTGTGCTGTTTTCTTGCTTTGTAACTGTTATTCCCTTGTTTTGTCCTGAGCAAGCATTAGACTGAAGGATTCCTAGAGGAATGGCTGACTCTAGGGGATTGGTAAGCCTCAAATCCCTCCATGATGAATTCACAGCATGATCATTTTTAGATTCTCGTGACCCCAAATGTTAAGCTGTATTTTGGTTTGGTTTTTTTTCCTAATTTGAAATTTTATTTTTATTTTGAATTGTCTTGGATGCTCGACCTGTCTCAGTGCACAGTGGTGTGACATTGGCATATCAACCTGTGGGACTGTGCTGCATCAGCTCAGAGGGGAGAGAATCAGCTGGGAAAACCCCATCCCTAGGCTCTTTAGAAAATAAATAATCCAAATTTATTATGGTGTCACCTCTCTGGGCTGGATTTCTCTGCCAGTGTCCTTGCACTGCCCATTAATTGGTGGCCTTTAATCTTTAAATAAAAATCCTGGTGGCCAAGTGGCTCAGGCAGGGGTTGGGAATGCTGGAGCACAAGGCTGCACTGCTCACTCTTAAAATAGTGCTAAATTTGGGGTTTTGTACACTCTCTCATTTATCTGCACTATTAAATCATAACAATCAGCAAATACCACTGCAGAGACCCAGGCTTGGAATATTCACTTAAAATCCAATGGATTTGTGGTCTGTTTTCCATCTCTCTGGCACTCTGCAGAAAATGCAGTCTTTCTCCCCAAAATCCAGTGTGGTTTCCCATTTCTCCAATCAGCTGGAGCAGCAGAAAGTGATGGGCAGAAAGTGATCTGTAATTCAAGAAGGAGCAGCCCAAAATAATTCTCTTTTTCCCATTTCTGTGACTTCAAAAGCTGGTCCCTTGTTCTGCTGACTGGGGATCCTTTTTGGGAAGTCCATCCTGCACTAAGGTGCAGGAATTCAATGGGAAATTCCTTAGATTGATTAGCTGGATTTTTAAAAAAATAATTAGCTTGGGACTGTCTCCTAATCTGTCTGTCATGGGAACAGAGCAAGACCTTCAGCTTCCATAAAAAAACAGTTTTGGAAGTTTAGTAAAGCTTGTTTTTAGTAACAACTCAGCTGATACTCAGTGGCAATCCTTTGGTTTTCCAAGGTGATTTAGTGGCCTCTCTTAGGAACAATATCCTGGTGTTACTGATTTGGGGTAGAGCAGCTCAGGAACTGTTTCCTAGGGAGTTCTCCAAGCAGGAGATTCTCCAATTCTCCAGCACAAGGCTTTAGTGAGGAATTTTAAAAGGACCTCCTCAGTGAAGCCAACAAAACTTCATGGATTTAAGGGTGACAGAGAAGGCACAGGGGTTTCTTTCAGAAAAGGTAATTTTAAAATTAATTTTAAAAGGACCTCCCCACTGAAGTCAAAAACCTTGGGGATTGAAGGGTGACTGAGAGGGCAAAAGGGTTTCTTTCGGAAAAGGTAATTTTAAAAGGACTTCCCCACTGAAGCCAACAAAACCTCAAGGGTTGAAGGGTAACAGAGTAGGCAAAGGGATTTCTTTCAAAAAAGGTAGTTTTAAAAAGAATTTTAAAAGGATGGAGTGATTTAAAGCCTGAGTGATTGAAAGGTGACAGAGTAAGCAGAGGGGTTTCTTTTGGAAAAGGTACAAAATAAAGCAGAGGCAATTAGAATTAAACCTCATTTGCTTGAGTCAAACCCCAAATTCCTGCTTTTTTCTGCTCCCTCCCTCTCCTGGACTGGATTTGAGCTGGAATTCAGCTGCTGCTTTCCCCGTGCAAGCTTGCAGCTGTGTCCGTGTGTCCCCATGCATGGCACTACCCCATCGCTGAGCCATCACCAGCACGTGGGCCTCACAGCAGAGCCCAGCTCATCCTGGCTCTTTTTCTCTCCTGTTTTTGGGCTGTTAGGGAGCAAAAGCAGCGGCTCCAACCGGAGCACCAGCGAGACCAGCAGGAGAGCAGCAGGCAGGGAGAAGGAGCGCAGCAAGTCCGGGGGCAGCGGCAGCGAGTCGGAGCCGGGCGCGCGCCGCGAGCGCCCGCTCAGCCAGCTCAGCCAGCGCTCTGCCAGCGACAGGAGCCACCAGAGCCACCACTCCTATGGTCCCCCAGGGCTGCCCCCCTTGTACAGCCTGCCCAAGCTGGGCTCCAAGGGGCTGGGCAGCAGCGGGCCCCCCGGAGCACCCCCGGTGCGTGAGCTGAGCGCCGTGCCGCCCGAGCTCACCGCCAGCCGCCAGTCCTTCCAGAAGGCCATGGGCAACCCTTGCGAGTTCTTCGTGGACATCATGTGAGAGGAAGTGCCTTCAAAAGACTCTGCGTTTTGGGGTTTTTTTTGGGGGGGGGGGGCGGGGGGGGTGGTTCTGGGATGCTCAGTTGGAAGAGGCTTGGCTGTCTTGCATGTCACACCTTCCTGTTTGCGAGTGTGTCGCAGAAAAGAAGAAAAATCGACAAAACTGAACAAAAAAAAGAAAAAAAAATACAAACACCCCCTCAAGCTACAAAAATGAGCAACAAAATCTCCTGGGATTGTTAAATCGTCTGCATCTTTTTGTTCTGTTTGTTTTTTTCTCCCCTGCCCATCTCATTTTGGATTGTGAATGGCCTGGTGTATGTTCACATCTTAATGGGCTTTGGTCATTGTGGCACCTACTTCAGTGGAATTAGTGTCTCTTTCTGGGCTGATTGGAGGACTGCTATTTCACATAACTTCTAAATTCCTGACAATGCATAGGAGCACTTTGATTTTTTTTTTTCCCCTGCTTTTTCTCTTACAAGGACAAAACAAAAAAGGACTGCTGGCTGGTATCTGGGATACTGCCTTGGAATGCTGGTTCTTGGATGCATCCATAGCTCTAAGCAGACATGGCGCCCACAAGTGCTTGGAAAGGAGCAGGATCCAGCCAATTTCTAGAGGAAAACAAACTTGTGGCTACTTTCTGCTGACTAGGCAGTATAAATCAATCTTTCTTGTGTTCTTTGAGGTTTTTTTTTTAAAGATATTCTATCAAGAGAGTGCTGGAGTCTTGCTACTGTATGCGTTCATTGTGCAGAACTTATAAAGTTATTTCCTTCAGTTATTTCCTTATTTCCCAAGAGGGATTTTCCAGCTCCACTGGGTTTTGGGCATTTCAGTCACATCCCTGCTGCCAGGTGTGGCTGTTCCCTCTGGATGTGCACCTGCTTGCAGATTGAAAGAGTTACTCCCACAGAAATAGGAACATTGCTGCAGTTCTGTCAGCTTTGCCCTTTTGAAGGGGCTGTTTATCCTATTCCAGCAGGGAAATCCTGGCTCCCACTGGGACATGGGACATCTTCTTTGTGATCCCTCCTTCCTTTCTGAGCACAAGCTTTCTCTTTTTTCTTAAAACAGAGATCTGGAGATGTCTGATCCCCCTGGCAACATTTCTAAGCACAGTGGGCAGAGAGGTGTGAGGTGTGAGAACAGATCAGAAATGGTACAAAAATAAATCCTTACCCTGAAACTGAGTGAGACCTACCCTGGGGCTCCCCAGCAAGTTAGGCCCATCTTGGAGCTCCCCAAAAATAAATCCTTACCCCTGACAGCAAGTTAGACTAACCCTGGAGCTCCTCAAAAAGAAATCTGTACCCCTGACCCTGAGTTAAACTCACTCTGCAGCTCCCCACAAAGAAATCCTTTTCAAATTCTCAAAAAGAACCTCCTGACTCCTCCTCCTGCTGAGGAGCTCTGCTGTTGAATATCCCCATGATTTATTTTCTGGCTATTTCTGCTCTGAGGCTGTAGAAATTAAATTCAGGCAGCTTCAGGGATGTTTAAAAAGCTTTTTTGAGGCATGGTGAGCACAGCCATGCTGTCATATGGCTCATTTAATGCAGCCACTCTGGCATTTGACCATGAGGCCATTCCTCAGTTAAATTCTCTTTTGTGAGATTCTGCTGCTGGCAGGATTTAGGGCAGGTGCTTTAAAATCAGTTTTTACTGTAAATAAGCATTTTCTCCACTGGTGAGAAGCTGCTTTTTGGTCTGTTCTGTGCTTTTTGGGTAAATATCCAAGGTGGATGTGAGGAGAGAACATCTTAAAACAATCTTTGTGTACACACAGTTCATTTGTGAAAATGAAAACCTGACCCTTCAAAATTTTCAAAATTTTCACCCTGAACACTGACTCTTCAAAATGTCCTTTTAATTCTGATTTTTCACTTATTTCCTTTTGAAAATGTCCTTTTAATTCTGAAAAGTCACGCTTCAAAATGTCCTTTTAATTCTGATTTTTCACTTATTTCCTTTTTCCCACCTCCCTTTGTCAGAGACTCCAGATGTTTGTGGGAATGGGAGACTCAATTTCCCTTTCCACAGGGAGCCAGGAATTCAAGAAACTCTCACTCAACCCATTTCTGGGCTTCTAAATTAATTTCCTTTGCAAAAACCTCCCCAAAAAAAGCTGCTCAAGGCTTCTGAAAGCAGAGCTTTCATCACCACCCATGGGTGGCTCCTCCAAAAGAGGCCTTGCCTAAAGCTTGACTGTACAACAGGACTTTTCTGTCCCTTCCCTCCTTCTCCCACATGCAAACCTGACTTGGTAAATTATTCTGAAAGATTGACACTTAAATCGGGGTAAAAGAGTGGTGGAATTCTGCTCTGTCTCCAGGAGACACTGCTGAGCAGTCTGTGACTTTACTGACAATCACTAGTGGTTCTACTTCTAAATTAATTGTGATTTTTTTTCTGGCATTTTATAAGTTATTATTTCTCTGGCCCTGTTTTAAGGCAAAACTCAAAGGGCTGGAGGAAAAAAAAAATCTCCTTTTAATATTTCCAAAAAAAGAGATTAAAGCTGGGGGCTGAGCTTTTCACCCATATTTAATTGACGTATTTAATTTCCAAGAGTTGCAGTTTCCACACCTGCTGGGGGTTGGCTTTTGTCTCATGGTTTTGCTGTTGGCAGAAACTGTTCTGTGTCTTGCTGGTCTTTGCTGCTGTGTTGAAAAAATGACTTTTTTAAAAATGTGTGTGCTCGTGGGTCACCCTGGGGCGAGGCTGGGAGTCCCCAGCAGATGTGGGAATTTGTTTTGCTGAGGAAATTCAGGCTGGAGGAGGTGGATCCTCTTGAACAGTGCAATATTGAACAGTGACACAAAAATCTGCATCTTTTTTTTTTCCCCCCATCCTGGGCTGAAAGTCAGGTCTGAATCTTTGCCAGATCTGTTTCCTCAAGGGAACAAAAATGAGATTTCCCAAATCCCATCCTTTGTGTCTTTCCTATCCCGCTGCATTCCCTGCAGGATCCTGTGCCAGCCATGCCAGGGGAGCTGCCCACAGTGGGAATTGTGCCAGGGAAAAGAAAATTTGGAGGCTGGAGTGCTGCAGAGCCAAAATTTCTTACCCACCAGGGCCTGCAAGTGAATTTTGGTGAATTTTGATGGATTTGGGCTCCAGCATTTCTTACCCACCAGGGCCTGAAGGTGAATTTTGCTGAATTTTGGTGGATTTTGGCTCCAGGGAGAGCTTTGCTGTGCAGGGCATGGGAGCACCCTCAGAGCAGGAGCCCGAAAGAATTGGATTAGAGCAATTCTTCAATTATTTTTTCAAATAATGTATTTTTATTCTGCAGCTGAGCTCAGTGCTCACCCCTCCCTGCAGCAGGGATATTTGGGGACTCCTGGAAAAGGGGCAGGAAAAACTTTGGGGTGTTTTCTCCCCCCCCAAGAGGCAGCATCTGCACAGGAGGTGTCCCCACCCAGTATTTAAGCCTTGAAGAGTAAATTTTTTTGGCAAATAGTCTTAAAGGCATGCTGGTATCTTTTACCTCCTGTTAATGAATCTGCTTTTCCAAGGAATCAGTGCCCTGGAAACTTTATCCAAAGGTTTTATTGGATGGCAAGCAATGATGCACAGATGTTGAATTTTGCTACGATTCTTGTTTTCTCTCTGATTTTTGTTCTCTCCCCTCCTGAGACTTGACAGCTCATGGGTTGATGTAATTGTTTTTGTTTTGGTTTTTAATTTTAATTTTTTGTTTTTGTTTTGCATTTAACTGGATTGTAATAAGATTGACTTAAAATTATTAATTCTAATCAGTGATTAGAAATACATGTAAAGAATTTTATGTACAGTAGAGGAACAAAGTTACATGATTTTAAATAATGAAAACCCAGACTATCACCTATCCTAGAACTGGTTCTACTCCAAGAGTGACCTCTTATTAGCATGGACTGCACTGTTCCTGTTAAATGTCTATTGCATAATGGAATTCTTTTTTGTAGATATTGTATTAAAACCCAAGTGTCTGTATAGTTAATATATAGCTGCTTATGTGTAAATGCTATTTTAAACACTAAAAAGCTTTTAATTTTATGTGACAACCACAGTGTGTGTGGTCAGTTCTTTGCAGCATTTCATTGTGATTTATTTCCTAAATCTTGCCAATTTTTGGACTCTCCAGCAGAATCAAGAATCACTGGGACACCCTTTGTAAATTCTGCTGAGCCTTGGGTTTGTTAGGACACCCTGGAGGCTCAGCTGCACTTGAGGTGTGAACATTTTTCCAGCCTCAATTATTCTGATTTTCCAGCTTAAATAAAAAGAACAAGCACAGCTTGGTAAGGCAGATTCCTTCTTCCCAGCTGATACAAATCACACAGCAAGGGGAGAGTGAAACAACCATAAATCCCAGCATTTTCCAGTGAGGAGGATATGAAATAATCAGAATTTAAATGAATATTAAATGGTCAAAATTTAGTTGAATATTAAATGGTCAGAATTTAAGTGCATATCAAATGATCAGAATTTAGGTGAATATTAAATTGTTGGATTTTAAGTGAATATTGTCAGAATTTAAGTGAGTATTAAATGATCAGAATTTAAGTGTATATCAAATGATCAGAATTTAGGTGAACATTAAATAGTCAGAATTTAGGTGAATATTAAATAGTCAGAATTTAGGTGAACATTAAATGGTCAGAATTTAAGTGAATATTAAATGGTCAGAATTTAAGTGAATCTTAAATGGAATTTTGGACAGCCTTTTCCTGCAGGGCCTGGTGAAGTTAAATCAATTTTTTTTCCTTTCCCTATTTCTGGAATGATGATCAAAAGTTATTTAATGTTTCTCTGCTATGGAACCACAGCCCTGGAGGAGGAATACTGAGAATTTCAGGTGGCTGTGAAGAATTCCTGCAGGCTCCAGGAACAAGAACTCCAGGCTCCAGGTCAGAGTTTTGGTTTTTTAAATCACACTGAGGAATAATTTTAGATGGAGGTGATCACAAAAATTGGGTACAAATAACTTTGCAGTATACCAAAAAGTTCTTTTTCTTTCTTTTTTTTATTTTTTTTGAATGAAAATATTCACTGGTTTAGATTAATTTACAAATTCTTTAGCTGAGCTGGACTGCTTAAAATCCAGTAACACACAGTGGAGAGATAGAAAAATTTTAATCTAGGGAATAAAAGAGCAGAAATGAAAAAACTTTTAGGGAATAAAAGAGCAGAAATGGAAAAACTTTTTAGGAATAAAAGAGCAGAGTAATTCCTTGTCAACATGAGTGGGGAAAAGAAAAACCTTGGCGATGTGACTGGGTATTGACTGGATACTGCCTGGCAAAAATGTGAAGTTTTGGGTGAATTTTGCCTGGTTTTGGGGAGGGAGGAAGCTCCTGCTGTGCCTTTGGAGGGTGAGATTTGCACAGAGCTCATTTACATGTGCCTGTCCCTGATTTTCATGGAACACAAATGGACTGAGCTGGGATTTGAATGGGAAATGCCCCCTCTGTGTCCCACACAGCACTGCTGGCACCTGCCAGAAAGTTCTTTTTACACCTCTTTTATTGGGTTTATTTGACAATTCTGACAAGGCTTGGGAAAGGCTGACACCAGCCAGAATGTTCTTTTTACTCCTGTTTTATTGGATATATTTGATATATCAGAATTATTGTATAATTCTTACAAGGTTTGGGAAAGGCTGGTACCTGACAGAATGTTCTTTTTACTCCTCTTTTATTGGGTGCATTTGATATATTAGAATTATTGTATTATTCTGACAACACTTGGGGAAGGATTCCTGGATCCATCTCAGGAGCTGTTAATTAATAAGAAAGGGAAATTACCAGAAGTGTTTAGAGGGAAGTGCTGTTGGTGACTCACACTGACAGACTTGAGAGATGGGTGTAAAATACCATTTCTGGAGGTTCTTCCATTAACTGAACCTAATTTTGCTCCTTTTTTGGGCTGAAATGTGTTTGCAGAGAGGATGGACTTGTGAGCCCTGTGCTTCACAACTCTAATTCAGATGTGATTGTTCCTGGGACTACAAAGTGCTCATAAACAGGATTTTCTCCTTAAAATCAACAGGATTTTCTCCTTAAAATCCAGGTTTTGTGAGGAGCAGGTGACACAAGGAGTGGTTTATTGTCTGTCCTCCTCTGGCTGCTCATCAGAGAGGTTCTGGAAATAATCCCTCGTGTTCAGATCAGGCCTGAACACCAAGATATAGCACTTGGGCACAAAGTAACTGGCCAAAATGCCCAGGGTGGTGGCCAGGATGGTGCAGATCTGGGTGACAGCCCTGAGCACCGTCCTGAGTGTGGCAAAAATCACCAGGAAGAAAATCCAGATGATGAAATAGATGAAGGTGGCAAAGGTGATGCCCCTGGCCACGTTGTACCTCCTGCCTGGGGTCTGCACCATGAAGGTGCACAGGAAGCAGACGAAGGCTAGGCAGCTGTTGTAGCCATGCAGGAGGGCAAAAGCAGCCCAGGACTGGGTGCCACACACGAGCAGCACCTCCCTGGGCAGGGATTCATAGTCAGCCACCAGGTAATCAGGGCCCAGGTGGAGGTGGCACCAGCAGAGCAACACCTGGGTGAGGATGGACACGGCCACCACCAGCCAGGCCCTGCCGTGGGTCACCCAGCGCAGCAGCCTGGGGGCACAGCGGGGGAATTCTGTCACCAAGGTGATCTCCAGGGCCTTGGGCAGCAGGGAGGAGAAGCAGCCATTGAGGCACAGGGCGTAGCAGAGCTGCTGCAGCAGGCACAGCGCCGCACTGGGCCTGCCCACATGCAGGCAGCAGCTGAGGCTCTGCAGCAGCAGCCAGAGCAGGGCCAGGAGGCTCCTGGCACCTCCTGCCAGCTGCACCAGGGGGCTGTGCAGGTGCTGCAGGAACAGCAGGGCTGCCCCACAGCTCAGGGCTGCAGTGAGGGCCACCAGGGTTAGCAGGGCCACGGCCAGGGGTTCATCCCAGGACAGGAACCGCTCGGTGCGGTCGTGGCAGCGCGTGCTGCGGGTGGGAGCCCACTGGTGCTGTGGGCACGGGGAGCAGCTGGTGCTGTCTGCAAAGAGAGACTGATCAGCATTGGAGACCTGTTGAGGTGGGATTTCAGTCCCCCCAGAACTGAGGCCCCTCCCCTGAAGATGCCCTCATGGGTATCACCACAGACGTGGCGTTTGGGGTGAAAAAAGAAGTGTCTCCAGCCAGTCATAAGTGTCTCTGGGATGAAACACCACACACCCAGTGAAACACTACACATTCAGCCGTCCAAAAGTGGTTTTGGGGTGAAAAGTGTCTCCAGTTAGCCAAAAGTGTCTCTGGGGTGACACACCACACATCCAGCTGACCAAAAGTGTCTCTGGGGTGAAACACCACACATCCAGCCAGCCAAAAGTGTCTGGGGTGAAACCCCACAATTGCTGCTGTTTGGTTCGGCACCAAGGGCGAGACAAGCTCAGGCACGTCCTATCCAGATATATTGGTAAATATTCCAATAGGGACCTGCCGCCCCTGGGGGAGGATTACACAGGGATCTGGTGGTGGTTTGGGTGGTGTTTCCCCTCCCTCCAAGGTGTATGTCCAGAGTTTGTGGTAGTTCAGCCTCTGCTTTTCCACCCTCATCCCTGAAGGATCCTTGTGTTTCTTGCCACTATTTCCTTCCCTCAGCAATCCCAGGATTTTATCCTCTGCCTCTCTTCTACCCATGCCCCCAGAATTCCATCCTAGCTCTCTCTCCAAGCTCTGCAGATAAAACATAGATGTTGTCCTCATTTTCCTTCCCTCTGGGCCCAACAGGGGCAGGTCCCAGTGAGGAGCAGGATAGGGAGGAGAGCTCCCAGCTCATCCCCACCTCAGCCTGGAGACAGAATAATCCACTTAAAGCCTTTCAATTGCCCAGAGCTCACCTGTGCTGCTCCAGAAGGTGTTTTCTGAGCAGTCTGTGCAGTCATAGCAGCAGAGGTTGAATCCTTTTATTCTTCTGAATTGCCCTGGTTGGCAGCGCCTGAAGCACTCGGATGTGGGCTCCTGGCAAAGGGCAGGAGTGAACATCAGCCAGGATGAACAAATCTCCAAGGAATCGGAAGGAACTGATCAGAAGGAATTGATGGAAGGAACTATCAGAAGGAACTGATGGAAGGAACTGAACAGAAGGAAGGAATTTGCCATTTTTACCTTCTTGTCTGGGGTGTGGAACTGGATCTGGGACGTCCGGACATACAGGGACTGGTCGTAGTCTCCCACGGGCAGGTAGGTGACTGTGCCATCCCTCCAGGCCCAGAGGATCAGTTTGTAGCCCGTGTTTGTGCCGTGGGATTGATCAAACCTGAAGCTCTGCCCATTCACCTCAAAAGGGAGGGTGTTCATGAAGTGCAGCAGCTGGGGAGGAAATGAAATCAAAATGGATTTTGGTCCAGTTCTTGTTTGGAAGTGACAGTTCTGCCAGCTGACATCAGCTGTGTCTTAGGTGGGCTAAGATTGTGCCAACCTGGCTGTGAGGTGACAATAATTGGCTGTTTGTCCCTCAGATCTGCCCTCACCTGTGGGGCAACAGCCTGGTTGGAAAGCGAGAAAACTTTGTTTTCTCACAGTGGATTTGTGAGACGTTTTAGGGAGTTACAGAAAAACAATGATAACTTGTTATATAAACAACCTACAGGTGCTGTTTTCCTACTCTGTTTGTCTGTTCTTCTCAAGGACTGTTTGTGAGAAAGATGTTCTTGTTAATTTTCCAATCAAGTAAAATGTGTCAAATCTGTCCATGAAAGAGAGGATTTTCATATTAAACTTGAAAGGGACTATCCTGCAAACCAGCCTTCCACTGATTTTGTGTCAGTGATGACACTCACCTGCCAGGACCTGATGGGTGTTTTGGGACTATTTTTGAAAACCAGCCTTTGAGTGAACCAGACTATTTTTTGGGACTATTTTCAGAAAACAACTTTCCAGTGAATGTGTCATTTCTACCTCCGTGATGGCACTCACCTGCCAGGACCTGATGGACATTTTGGGACTATTTTCAAAACCCAGAGTTTAGGTGAATCTGTGCCATTTCTGCCTCAACGGTGCTACTCACCTGCCAGGACCTGATGGGTATTTTGGGACTAGCCTTGGAGTCAATTTGTGCCATTTCTGCCTCAATGGTGCCACTCACCTGCCAGGACCTGACAGGTGTTTTGGGACACCCTTTGGAGGTGCAGCCCAGAGCCCTGTGCAGTGCATGGGCCACGCTGTACACGGCCACGTGCACGGGCTGCACCGGCGTCACCCCCAGCATGGGCCAGATGTCCCCGAGGGTGACATTGCCGCACTGCCGGCAGTGCGTGTCCAACACCTCGGTGTCCTCCAGCCCGCTGAGCTCCCGGGAGCGCTGGCAGAACTCCTCCTGAGCCACAGAGTTGAACAGCTCAGCTACAAACTCCTGGAAGCCTGGCACTGTCCCCGTCCTCATGACAAAGCCCAGCACTGTCCCCACACTCTGGATGTTGGGGACAGAGGTGGCGATGTCCGACAGCAGCCAGGCCTCGCTGCCCAGCCAGACCTTCTTGCCCAGCCCCATGGCCAGGCTGTGCTGCAGCAGGGCCTGGGCTGGCACGCTGTGTGCAAACAGCACAATCACGTTGACTTTGGTGCTGTTAATTAATTTAATTGTGTTTTCCAGCTGCTTGGTGGCATCAGCCTCGGCCAGCTCGGTGGGGATGAGCCCCTCGAAGGCGATGCAGATGCTGTTGGTGCCAGCCATGCTGAGGAAGAGCGCCTGGGCTCCCCGGCCATACTCATCATCGCTGGCCACCGTGGCCACCCAGTTCCAGCCAAAGTGGTTGAGGAGCAGCACCACGGCCTCCACCAGGTTCTTGTCACTGGGCACCGTGCGGTAGAAGGACGGGTAGAGCTCTGTGTTGCTCAGGGTCTCGCTGCTGGCGCCGTAGCTCACCTGGGGGGAAAAGATCCTCACAAAGAATTCCAGAAGTTTATTAAAACCTTTTCAAAAATACAACATTGAATGGAAAAATTCTTAAAAAACTTGGGAAGGGATTCTTGGATGCATCTCGGAGCTGTTGAGTAAGAAATTTACTTGAGAAATTTCTATAAGAAATTTTAAATATTATTTAAGAAATTTCCATAAGAAATTTTTATTAATACTTGAGAAATTACTGGAAGAAATTTATATTAAAACACAAATTTCTATAAGAAATTTATATTAAAACCTGAGAAACGCCTATAAGAAATTTGTATTAATAGTTAATAAATTTCTATAAGAAATTTATTTTAATAGTTAAGAAATTACTATAAAAAATATTAAAGCTTTAGAAATTACTATAAGAAATTTATATTAAAGCTTATTAAATTACTAGAAGAAATTTGATAAGAAAAGGAAATTACGAGGAGTGTTTAGAGGGTTAGACATTCACACAAAACATCACTTCTGGAGTTTGTTTCATTACCTACAAGGGAGAATCCTGCTCCTGCAGAGACGTTTTACCTGTGGGATGAGGAAGGAGCTGAAGAGCTTGGCTGTGAGCAGGCACAGGTCGGATTTGTGGGGCCCGATGACGGCGATGACGCGGGGCTGGTACTCGCTGTAGTCACACAGGACCCCGATGGCCCTGGTGCCATTGCGGGTGAGGAAGAGGAGGCTGGGCTGAAGGGCCACCAGGGGCTCAAAGCAGGTGTCACACATGTCATAGCCCAGGGTGACCCCTGGCAGCAGCCAGCTGCTGTTGTTGATCTGCTCGATGGCAAACCTCATGGCCAGAGCCCAGATCAGCCCGTCCGTGAATAACCTGGGGACAGCAGGGACAGGACCTGTGCTGCAGCTGGGACTGGGCTTCTTCATGTAGGAAAAGCTAATTTTTTATTAGACATTTTATTAGCATAACTGATTTTTTAATCTATTTTAATATAATTATTTTATTAGCATAACGGATTTTATAGGTATTTTATAGAATTATTTTATTAGAATAACTTATTTTTATCCATTTTTCATGTTTATATTTTTATATACTTTTATTAACTTATTTTTATACCTAAATTTCTACATTTATTTATATATTTAGGTGTTTGATTATTTTACAATTTGACAGTTTGATTCAATTTAACTGATTCATTTACAATTTAACTGTTTGATTCATTTAGGATGTGTTTGCTTCAATTTAACTGATTCATTTACAATGTAACTGTAATGTTTTATTCAGTTCAACTGATTTATTTACAACTAGGTGTTTGCTTCAAACCCTAAGGAAACCAGTGCCGCTAAAACCTTTTATCAAGGTGAGACCAAAGCTTGTCAGCACCAAAAAACCACAAACCCATTTCCATTTTGGGACCTGTTGATGTCCCAGTGCTCCAATTCTCCTCTATCCCATCCCATCCCATATTTTCCCTTTTTCACCCAATCCCAGCCCTTACCTGTCACAGAGCAGCAGGGTGGGCTCAGAGCGAGCTGCCAGGTTCAGGGTGTCCTTCCCAAATGGGAACAAACCCCCCAGGACAAAATCCCCCGGCCTCCTGAGCTGGGCTGAGAGACACCAGGGGCTCAGGGGGGCAGCCCAGCCACAGCCCAGGCACAGCCACAGCCCAGCCACCACGTGCATTTTGGGGAAATCTAGGAAATCCAGGCTCAGATGGTCCTGGGAAGTCTCTTTAAATAGAGCTTGGGAGGAATTTGTTAGGCAAAATGAATTGAATTCACTTTAGTGGGCAATAATCAAATATACTCCAAGTAAAAACCACTGCCCTCATCCTGATTTCCTTTACTCAGTGAGTCAATGTCCTTTACTCAGTGGGCAATAATCAAATCCCCTCTGAGGGCACTTCAGTGTAAATCCTGATTTCCTTTACTGAGTAGCTTTTACTCAGAGTGATTTACAAGTTCATTAGCACAGCTGTGGAAATTTGGGTTCCTCTGGTAGAGGTGACAAAACTCAGGTGCCCCGCTCTGATTCTGGTAAATGATTTACACAACAGTAATTTTTATTTATTTATTTATTTATTACATTCCATTTAAAAAATTTAAATTATATTTTAATTATTTAAATTTTAAATACACCTCATCATGGAAATAACCAAATCTTCCTGAGGGCAGGGCAGGAATTTGCCTGGAGAGGCCATTCCTGGGTCACAGCCTTGCTGTCCCTCAGCTGTACTGATATTTTTTTAGGAAGTTGTTACTGGCTGATCTATTTTTCTTTCCCTCACACTGAACTAGAATATTAATTTCAGTTTAAAATTTTAAATCTGAGTTCATAGCATGGTAATTTAGGTTTTACTACTGTATTTTATTGTTGGATTTTAGGACAGCTCTGAATGAAAAGTTCAATTTCCTGCATTTTCTATATCAGAAAACTGCTTTTGCTGCCAGTGCTGCTCCAAGGCTGGAATATTTTCCTTGCAGGAAAGCAGATTTAGAGACCTAATACAGGAATGCACCAGCTGCAGCTGTTTTTTCCAGGTATGTTCCTACTGACATTTTTTTAGGCATCGTTTCCCTTTCCTGGACTACTTAGGTGTCAGTTTAACTATAAAACTTTAAAAAATAAGTTCTAAACACAATTCTGAATTTTGGGCAAGTTCATCTTCAATATTAGCAATGGTAATTATAAATATTAATATTTATCTCTTAAATAATTACGAGTGTGACAAGGGAGAAAAAAATTTTTCTTGTGGTCACACCATCATTTCTAGAGATTTAAACCCATTTTTTTTTCCCTTGACACACATTATTTGATTTAGTTGAAGGTATTTAATTCACTGCACTGGTGAAATATCAGTTGGCCTGATCTCCAGGGAAATAAAACAGATTTTTCCAGGGAAATAAAATCTGAGTAGGTTTTCTGTAAATGGTGTTGGACCTCCAGAGTGTGATCCCACAAAGGACACTCCTCAAAAACCATATTATTCACATCATTTAATGTGCAGTGAGTCCAGTCTCCATGAGGTAATTGTGATTTCCTGAATCTTTCAGTGGTACATTAGGGCAGAAAGAGGCAATCAGCTGCAGGATTGATCCCTGCAATAACCCTGCAGGGCTTCTCCAGCTCCCAACGCTCAGAAAGTCCCACCTGAGACCCTCTGGCTCCTCCAGGGGTTTGGCAGAGGCTCCCAAAGCAGTGATTTACAGTACAAGTGTGGATTTTCCGCCCCAGAGAGGCAGAAAAATCCTTTTTGTAGGCATTGAACACATTGATAAAAATTAAAAATAAACACACAAGAACACAACTCAGAAGCAAACAGCTCCAGGCTGGGCTGGACAGAGGGGATTGTGCAGCAGAAATTACAATTTGCTGCACATCCCAAGTGCAAAATCATGGATTGAACAGGGAAGGGGCACAGGGGAAGGTGCTGCTGGGTGGAACAATTTTCTCCTCTTTCCACCCCTATTTCCTTCAGCTCCCACAGTGGCAGGGAAAGGGCATTTCCCCAGGGCATTGCTCAGCATGAAATCCTCCAGGTGGGATTTTTGTACAAACCAAAGTGTGGGAATGAGCTCAGACACCACAGCTCCAATTTGTGCTGCCACACAAGGCCACAAATATTGCTGTAAATGCACACAAGCCGCTGCGCTTGGGCTTGAAAAGAAAAACCGTTTCCAGCTTTGCCAGGAATAAAAAAATTCAGAACTTCAATCCCTTAGCAGCTCATCCTAATGTGGAATTATTTTTCTAACTCTGCACAGCTCCTCCTACTGTGGATTTTTTTTCTAATTGTAGAGATGTAAAAAAAGGTGTAAAAAAAACCTATTCCATGTTTATGAAGTGGAATAACTTGGCCAACTCCTCAGCTCCAGGCTGGAAAGAAAAAGTGAAAATAACCAAATAATAAATGCGCAAAAATGTTATTTTCACTCTGGGCTCATCCTAGCAGGATGGGTCGAGCAGCCTGTGCTGCAAAAAGAGCTCCTGGCTCATGCTGTAAGGTGTGGGAGTAAAAAAAAAATCCCTTAGCACCTCAATCTAATATGGAATTTTTTTTCTAACCGTACAGATGTAAGAAAAGGACTGGTCCACATTTATAATATGGACTTGTTTTGCCAATTCCTCAGCTCTAGGCTGGAAAGAAAAGTGGAAATAACCACGGACAGTGTGTTGCTTGTGCATAAATGTCATTTTCAGCCATCAGGGCAGCTTGTGCTGAGCAAAGAGCTCCTGGGTGATGCTGTACAGTGGGAATATAAAAAAAATCAATCCCTTAGCAGCTCAACCTAATGTGGAATTTTTTTCTAACTTTAGAGATGTAAGAATAGAACTGACAGATGTAAAAAATAACCGGTCCATGTTTATAATACAGAATCATTTTGCCAACTCCTCAGCTCCAGGCTGGAGAGAAAAAGTGAAAATAACCATGGACAGAATGTTTTGCTTGTGCAAAAATGGCATTTTCACACCAGCACCACCGTCAGGGCAGGTACACAAATAGTTCCTGGGTGATGCTGTATGCTAGGAATAGAAAAGAATCAATCCTTTAGCAGCTCAACCTAACGTGGAATTGTTTTCTAACTTTAGAGATGTAAGAATAGAACTGACAGCTGTACAAAAATAACCGACATTTATAATATGGAATAATTTTGTCAAATCCTCAGCTCCAGGCTGGAATGAAAAAAGGGAAATAACCACGGACAGAGTGTGTTGCTTGTGCAAAAATGTCATTTTCAGCCATCAGGGCAGGTTAAGCAGCTTGTGCTGAGCGAAGAGTGCCTGGGAGATTGCTGTACGGTGGGAATTAAAAAAATAAATCCCTTAGCAGCTCATCCTAATGTGGAATTTTTTCCTAACTTTAGAGATGTACGGTAAGAACTGAGAAACGTGAAAAAATTAATGGTCCACGTTTATACCGTGGGATAGTTTGGCCAACTTTCCACCTCCGGGCCGGAAAGAAAAAGTGGAAATAACCACGGACAGAGTGTGTTGCTTGTGCAAAAATGTCATTTTCAGCCATCAGGGCAGGTCGAGCAGCTTGTGCTGAGTGAAGAGCTCCTGGGTGATGCTGTAGACATCTCCGATGTAGGGGATGGCCTCTCCCAGCATGGCCACGGCCTCCTCTTGCGAGCCCACGTTCATGATCTCCAGGAAGGCATCCCGGGAGGGCAGCGCGCAGAAAGCCACGGTGGCCGCCTTGCGGACAACCCAGGGGTGGTGCTGGGCCAGCGAGGCGTTGTAGGCGTCGGTGCAGAGCACGGAGGTGCGCGGCTCCCCCGAGCGCAGCCCCTCCAGGAAGAGCTGCAGCCAGCGCAGGGCGCGGTGCAGCCGCAGCACCGTGCGGCAGCCCGAGTCCGAGCGGGCCCGCAGCGCCGCCAGCCCCGCCGCCAGCTCGTGCTGCACCAGCGACTGCAGCGACACGAAGCCGTGCTGCTGCTGGTGACCTTCCAGCAGAGCCACCTTGGCCACGGCGTCCTTGGAGATGAAGGAGAAGACGGCGCCCAGGCTCTGCAGGAAGCTGAGGGGGAGAGGGGAGTGGTGGGTTAGGTGGGCGAGGGGTGGGGAGAGAAGCGGAAAAAATACCTGAGGGGTGAAAAAACCAACCCCAAAACCACCTCGGGGGGAAAAGAGAACCCTGCCGACCCCCCGCCAAAAAAAACACCTCAGGGGTGAAAAGACGACCCCAAAACATCTCAGGGGTGAAATGAGAAGGCAAAAAGCATCTGAGGGAGGCAAAGCAAAGCCAAAAAGCATCTGAGGGGGGGAAAGAGAAGCCAGAAAGTAACTGAGGGGGAAAAAGAGAGCCCAAAGAATTGCCTGAGGGGTGGAAAGAGATAGCAAAAGGCATCTGAAGGGTCAAAAGAGAAAGCAAAAGCTCCATCAGGGGTGAAAAGAGAAGACAAAGTATCTGAGGAGTGAAAAGAGAACCCCAAACCCACTTCAGTGTGAAGCCGTCGCTCCCTGATCGGTCACTGCATCCTTCTGCCCACAGTCCCCCCGCTCGCTGCCGGGCACTCACCGGATGAGCCCCCGCCAGCCGCTCAGGTAGGGCTCCAGCAGCACCTCTCGCTGCTCCGTCACGCACCTGCGGAAGGCGTCCAGGACCTCCCTGAGGCTGAACGGGCCCGCGGCCGCCGCCGCCATCGCGCCGCGGCGCCACCGCCGCCTCCCCTTCCCCTCCCCCTTCCTCCTCCTCCTCCTTCCGCATGCCTCACCGCCCTCTCGGCCAATCAGCGCCGCATCCGTCACCCGCCGCGCCCCGCAGGCCTATCCGCTTCGCGTGCGTCATTGCGGCTCGGCCAATCCGCGCGGGGTGGCGCAGGCGCGGAGGAGGCGCTGGGGCTGCGGCCTGGCCTAGGTGCATTTGCGGGGTTTTTTGTGTTATTTTTTTGTGGTTTTGTGCTTTTTTTGCCCGTTTTTCTGTGTTTCTACACGTGTTTTCCCGGCTCTCATCAGTGGTGGTGGGTATTGCAGCCAAACGGGGCCGCTTTCCCGCAGGTTGTTGTTTATCACCTCACCTGTGTTTTCTGTCTCGCCTCAGGAAAAAGTTTGGGCTCTGCTTGAGTCTTCGGCCGGATACTTGAAAAAATTGAAATGGCGCCGGTAAAACCAACGAAATCCTCTCTCGTTGTGCCCCCCTCGCATCTGCTCCTGGGCTAATTTTCTGTGCGGGCTTGGGACCTGGAGTGGGGTAAAAATGCCCGAGATCAAAGTCACCCCCTTGGGTAAGTCCGGCCTAAAATCGCCTTGAAATGCCAACACTGAAACCCTGGGGGAAATTCTGGCTCATATTTGGAATCCGTGATGTGATTCCTCTCTGCCCTCCATTGTTTTTTCCAGTGACCATTATAACTGTTTGGATTAATTAATCAGGATTAATTAAGTTATTCTTGTAAAGGTACTGTGGTGTTGTGGAGCATTAATTCACTACAGTGCTAAAGAGCCACAGGAAGAAAATATTTCTCATTTTTCCCTGTTCAATCTTTTTTTAAATGTGGTTTGTATTGAGAGGGCAGAGGATGTACTGAGCAGCAGATC